GGAAAAAAGCCTATTAAAAAAACCCAACAAAAATACAATGAATAGTGAAGATCTAATGAAGTATAAAAGTAGTAAGGCAATAGTACAAATAATTATAAAAAAGCAAAGAAAGAGTGTTGAAGGAAGTACTGTGGGTAGATGAACAAAGATACCAAGATATCAGAAGTATACAGGCAAATTACAATGAATGGAATTCAGACTGAGAGTAACCACATCCCAGGTCTTATGGGGAGTGACAACATAGTTAGAAGTTCTGATAATGAGAAAAGAGGAGTTTTAGCAGAAACTTACCAAGGGATGAGTAATGATCAAAGTGAAGTTTTCCTCAAGATTAAAAGACAATTCACTGAAGAGAGTCATGATCTATTATGTAAGATAATATTCACATATCTCTCTGAAAGCACTTTGAGTGCTATCTTGGAACCAATTATATGGGAGAAAGGAGTGATACTGGAAGGGTGGAAACATGCAATAGTAATTCCAATATGAAAACTAGGCAAACTATCCACAAAAGTGGATGCCTATAGACCAATTGCCCTTACATCCTGTCTGGTAAAATTATGGACAGAAGGGTGAATGAAAGATTGGCTGCCTATTTGGAAAACAATGGCATTATAGATAAGGTGCACAGTGGTTTTAGGCAAGGAAGATGCACTATGTATCACATTGCTAAATTAGAAGCTGAAATACAAAAAAGTATGAGACACAAGGGTTTCATGATAGCTGTCTTTCCAGATATTGAAAAGGCATATGCCATGCCATGGAGAAAAGGCTTATTGTACAAAGTAGGGGCACTAGCATCAGAGGAAGAATGTATGAGTGTATTAGAGAATTTTTGAGTAAAGGACCATGCAGGTCAGAGTTGGGAAAGTTATGTTGAATATATATAATATTAAAAATGGTACACCACAGAGAAGTGTTATCAGCCCAACTTTATTTACTGTTATGATAAATGACCTCCCAAAACACATAAGTGCTGGGGTAGGTGTCACTCTATTCACAGATGATTGTGCTCTGTGGGTTAGGAGCAGGAATACTGAGGTGGCAGAAAAGAGAAGCAACAAAGCATTATCGGACTGACTGAGGAAATGCATGGAGTTTCAAATTCTCCACTGCTAAAACCAAAGGATTGAGCTTTACAAAAAGGAAAGTTACAAAGGAATGTAAACTGTGTCCGTATGGAGAATACAGTAAATAGATATGGTTAAAAGGTTTGAATTCTTAGGGATTATATCGGATACTAAATTACTTTGGAAAGATCATATAAGCTATGTTACAGACAAATGTACAGGAAGGATTAACCGGTTAAAAAAAGTCTTTGTATGACTAATTGCGGGGTGGATAAGAAAACACTGTTGGTGGCAATCAGAACCAGTTGTTGATTATATCTGCCATGCTTTTGGGTCAGCATCAAAATCAGAACTTACAGAAAAGCGACTTAATACAAGCCCAGGTGCTATGACTTCTGTGTGGTGCATTATTGCAACACCTATAAGTGCTACAGATAGTGTAAGTGGCGTGTCACTAAAAGCTATGAACAAAACTATGGGATCTATCTTTCTGGAACAAAATTAATGAACTGCGATGATGAAAGTATCAAACATATATATATGAGGATTGTTGGGAATTAGATAAGAGAACTATAGCATCAGGACGTTGGAACTCCACATGCCATTTGAGTTAAAGAGTGGATGCAGGAGTTGAAAGACAAGGAAAAGTTGAACAAAGTCAAAACTTTTAGTCATGGGAAAATTAGTTATGGGTGGAAAGTTGCATGGCCATACATGGATTTAGATTTATTATATAAACATGAGGGTAAAAAAGATATAGTAGGTATTAAAAATGAACCAGTATATAAATGGAAAGTAAAGTTGGTTTTGTCAAATACATACAGATGGGTGCAGAAAAGAAAAAAAAAAACAGGAAGAGTAGGGAGGGCATATCATCTGTGACAAGGTTCCTCCTCTGCCTTGGTGGGTCCTGCAATTTTTGGCAGATTTGCTCACCTCAGAGATTCACGGCAGCCCTCAGTTTGGCCACTTTTGCTAGTGGCTCAAACCTGCCGTTCACTCAGCTAACCTCATCACTGGCCAGCATGGGGAAAAGGAAGGAGAACAATCCCTGCGGTCCACCTAGTGGGTCGGGGGACAAGCCAGGGACCTTCCCCTCTGGTGGGACCCACAGTCCAGGTCAACTACTCCTGTATCCAATAGGGAGTTGAGGGAATGGGTGGAACCCGGGCCCACTCTCTACTCCGGGTTCCAGCCCAGGGTCCTGTGGATCATAGCTGTCTACAGTGTTTTGTGTAACACCTGTGTGACAGCTACAACTCCCTGGGCTACTTCCCCCTGGCCTTCTCCCAACACCTTCTGTATCCTCACTACAGGACCTTCCTCTTCATGCCAGATAGCGTTTATTCTCCTCAGTCCTCCAGCAGCACGCCCTCTCACTCTCAGCTCCTTGCATACCCCTCGCTGACTGAAGTGAGGTCCTTTTTAAACCAAGTTCCCGGATTAGCCTGCCTGTCTTGATTCTAGCAGCTTCTTAATTGGCTCCAGGTGTCCTAATTAGCCTGCCTTAATTGGTTCCAGCAAGTTCCTGATTGTTCTGGAACTGCCCCTGTTACCTTACCCAGGGAAAAGGGACCTGCTTAACCTGGGGCTAATTTATCTGTCTTCTATCACTCTCCTGTAGCCATCTGGCCTGACCCTGTCACTCATCATATATCGAAATAGGGAATTTGTACAACTAAAAGAATATCTGACTATGTAGGTATCATGACAGCCAAACTAGTAGCAATAATGCTAGCATTGAATTGGATCTGGGATGTATGCCCAGCAGCAGTGGTTATTTTTTCAGATTCAGTGTCTGGCCTGATGGTGATAAACAGTGTCTCAGAATGTAAAAGTAATTTAATCAATGAAATTATATTTCTAATAAGAATTAGTACAGTTTGGGATATATGCTATAGCTTGGATCCCAGCACATTTGGGGACAACTGGGAATGAAATGGCAGACAAAGCAGCTAAAAATTATGTAAGAAATGGAGGGATTGACATAGAAATACCCTTGAGTAAACAGGAATTCAAAAGCCTAGTACAGAAACATTTTAAAAAAATTTGGATTAATGAAAAAAGAGGAAGATGATGTTTTTGAATTGTGACCTAAAGTTGAGGATTATGACATACTTCAGAGTCTGGGTAGGACTAGTGAAGTTTTTTTGTTTAGAGTACTAACTGACCATTGTGGTTTAAACACAAATCTTTGTCAAATAAATAGACACAAAGATGGACTACATGCACTCCGTAAGGTGGAAAAAACAATTGATCACCTTTTATGGTATGTAAGGGCTTTGATAAAGAAAGGGAAAAGCTTTTTGAGCAATTCAAACATCTTAAGGTAAAAAAAATTACATTGTTATTTAGTAAAAACATCTGGGAAATGGAGTATTGTTAAAAGCGCTGTTGCATTACCTGAAAGACACAAGGCAGAGTGAGAGGATATAAACCAGTAAGTATTGAGGAAGAATAGTTGGTGGTGCTATAGACTATACAGTTAAGTCTGCTTCACCATAAAAAAGAAAAAAGGAAAAAAGGGGGAATTGGGCTGCAGTGAGGCAGCCTGCAGGCACTCTCTGGCCTTAGCGAAAGGAGGAAAGCAGGGGGAGAATAGGAGCCCTGAGGTCCTGGCCCTGATAGAAGGGCATATCCAGAGGAGGGTAGAGCAAGAGCTTGATAGAGGCAAAGAGCCTTATAGAGGCAAAGTAGAAGTAGCCCAGGGAAACAGCAGCAAGGTTTGGCCCTGTGCAAACCCTGGCTGCTGATAGTAGGGTCCCTGGGCTGGAACAGAGAGTAGTGGGCGGATCTGGGTTCCCCTGCCAGCCACTGGGGAAGTGAGACAGACTGCCTAGGACAGTCGTCCAGTGGGACTTTGATCCCCCAGAAGGACTATAGCAACCTGGCCAGAGGGCCAAGTCACCGAGAGAGAGAGCACCCTGAGTCACAGGGAGAGAGGTGGCAGGGCATGGGAACAACTGACAGAAGAGGGTGCCAGACCAGGCAAAAGCTGATCCCCATGGCAGGCACAAGGAGGCGCCACCTGTGGTGAGTCAGCTCAGTTACAATTTTGGTGGAGAATACGGGCATGACCCTGGCACAAGGGGAGTGTGAGTGACTGTAGTTAATGGTTGCCCCAATACAAGAGGAGTGTAAGAATTTGAAAGAGTGAAGAAACTGGGAAAGAAGGACAATGAACTACTATGTGCAGAGAACATCTTCATTGAAGGCAAGTTCACCCTCCCAAGGTGGACCCCAGAGTTGCTGAAGGGGGCTGACAAACAGCAAAGGGAAGAAGGCATCTATACCCCCGAGGGAAGCAGTCCTGAGGGGGAGGCTGTGTGAGTGGGTGTTCCCACCACACCAGCACTGAAAGGATTAATGAGGCTGAGAAGGAGGCCAATTAATTTGATAGGCCAAGCCTGAAGGGAATTAGGCTGGATAATTAACCCTTGACTGGGAATAGAGCCCGGCTAAGAAAGAACAGGTGGGGCTATGATAAAGCCAGGAAGATGGCAAGAGAGGGGAGCTGCAGTTAGGGAGCCTGCAGTCACTTTCTAGCTGTAGAGAGGGAAAGGAGATAACCAGAGGTAGAATAGAAGCCCCGAGGGAAAGGCATACCCAGAGCCTGGTAGAGGTGAAGTAGGAGCAGCCCAGGGAAACAGTCACAGAGTTTAGGACTGTGACTAGATAGCAAGTGTGAAAAATTGGGACAATGAGTTGGGTGGTAATAGGCACCTATATAAGAAAAAGCCCTGAATATCGGGACTGTCCCTATAAAACCGGGACATGTGATCACCCTACCAGTGACTGGTAGGGGAACCTGGGCCCTCCCACTATTCTGGTTTCCAGCCCAGAGACCCTAAGCCAAAGTCTTGCCCTTTCTTATATAGGTGCCTATTACCCCCACCCCCATCCTAATTTTTCACACTTGCTATCTGGTCACCCTAGCCACTGGGGAAGTGCCCCAACCCAGGCACTGGAGCAGATGGCTGCTTAGAACTGTCATCCAGTGGGCCCTTCATCCCTGGAAGGGGGAAAGGACTATAGTGACATGGCTGGAGGGCCAAGACAGGAAGAGAGAGCATCCTGAATTGCAGGGAGAGAGAGATGGCAGGGTATGCAAATGATGACAGAAGAGGATGCCAGGTGGGATGTGACTGCTCTGGGGGATCAGCTCTCAAAGAGGTGGCACCTGCTGTGAGTAACCCCGCCCCATTACAATCCTATTCCCCCTCCCCCACACAGCTCTCTCCAAGCAGGCGATAATGAAGGATAATGTTGTACCACCCAAGCTAAAAGCTACAGAGATCAGTTTAGGATCAGATGTCTTAGATTAATTGGAGCTACTGAAATGAATACTGATAATGAAGCTACAGACAGAATATTATATATATTCCAATAGCATTATGGAAAGTAAGTGTAATACATCCTACAGGATGACAAAGTATAGGGTATATCAAGAAAGGCTAGAGGAATCACCTCTGGGGCCTAATTCCCAGATATTTCTTTCAGGATGTTTATTTTCTCTTCTATGTTTTCAGGAGATAAATGCTTAGTTCCTTCCTAAATGAAAGTCAATCAGCATACCTACTATGGTTTATGAGGCCACAATTTTTGATGTTTATAGCCAAACACAGGCACACTATAGAAAGGTGATGCGCTTACCCCTGAATGTGCATATACTGACGTGGAACTTGCAGTCTTTTTATCCTATTCCACAACAAGTTGATCTGCAAGAGATCTAGCATACCTGTGACAACAACTATGTGAACTAATTTGTCACCTGAAATGCTTCTACTGCAAAAAGATGATAATTGTTGCATGTCCTCACACAAGGTATAGCACAGAGCTTTTATTTTTCAGATAGTCCACTTCCCTTGTGTTCTTCTTGTAACCAAATTAAATGTGTCTGCTGGGATCTACTTAGGGGAACATGGATTAGATTTTTTTTTTGTTCTAGAGATGCATTTATACTTTGAAAATGCTTGCCTGCCTATTTAAACTTTTTTGCTGAGAAACAAATTTTCTAACTGCAATACAATTCTTAAATTTATATTGTGACTTTCTGAGCATTGGCCTGCTAAACCCAGGGTTGTGAGTTCAATCCTTGAGGGGGCCATTTAGGGATCTGGGGCAAAAAAACAAAAACAATATTGGGGATTGTGCCTGCTTTGAGCAGGGGGTTGGACTAGATGACCTCCTGAGGTCCCTTCCAACCCTGATATTCTATGATTCTATTATTCTCCCACCTCAGCTTTAGAAATGTAAATCTAGTAAGTGTCTGATTTGCATTATATTCTTTCATTTGTCTTTTTATTTCTCAAGCTTCTGCTTTGCACTGGATAGATTTATTCCAAAAGGCTTACAAAAACTAACACTTATGTAACATGAAGTGCTTATTCATACAGTGCTTTATATTTTCAAAGCACTTCACAATCATCAGCTAATCATCAGCATTAATGAACAAAGTTAGAAAAAAATCCTGTTGAACAGGGATTGGTAAATACCCTTGGCAGTGAAGGGGCTAATAAAATAAGCACAGAAATAATTAACATCAAACTGATGCACAGTGTAATTGTTGATGCTTTTGTGTAACCAACCCTACACAAAGAATTTCAGACTCTAAAAATGCTTCAAGTATGAAAATGTCCAGACAACCCTATCTGGCTTTAGCTTCTGTCTGATCCACTTGAGTGTCCAAGTCTGTCAGACAACAGTAGAACAACATCTGAACATATTTTGTTGTTGTGGCTGCAAGATAAAAAAAACACATTAATGAGACAAAGTTACAATAGAACTTTGATCTTTTATAAACTTTGTGTCCAAGGATATCAAAGCACTTTACAAACATTAGTTAAGCTTTGCAACCCCTCTGTGAAGCGGATTAAATCCATGTTTCCAATGGGTAAATCATTCACAGAGACATCAAAGCCCAACTTTGAAATTCTTACTTTTTAATCAGCCCTTCACTGAATTTAATGGAAATTTGTAAGAGCTGGGATCAAACTGAACAAGGAGCTCAGGACTGAGCCTTTCAAGACTAGTCTGTGAGTCAGTAGCAGAGATATGCATAATCCTCTGCAGCCACTAGTTTCTGAACCTGAGTCCACTAAATTAATGATTTAATAATTTAGGAAACTTTCTGCTGATGTTTACAAGCTCAAAACCTCACATCAGCTTATTTATACAAGTTATGGCATCTGTCCCATCCTACACACACACACACACACACACACACAACCACTTTTTCAATTGTTCCTGGAAGAGAGCACCCAGAAATAAGTATATGTACAGCCCTACAGGACCACCAATTTTTTCCCCAATGCAAATGTTAGCCCCTTACCAATCTCAAATATCCATCATTATAGCAGAATTCACATTTTAACTGGGTACCAAAAAAGGTGGTCTCCTCTAACTCAGATACTATACTAATTGGTCAGTCAGTGAAACAATACAGTGATGTGGTACTTTCAGCCCTCCAGGAGACCAAACATGAATGAGTTTAGTCTTTAGAGACAAGGTGGGTGAGGTAATATCTTGCTGGACCAACTTCTGTTGGTGAGAGACACAAGCTTTTGAGCTTACACAGAGCTCTTCTTCTGTCTTCAACACTAGGAGGACTTTTGACTGAGCCAACGTAAATTATTCCTTCATAATGACTTATAATTAATGTATTGTAATATTTTTATTGTATCTACATGAAGGAAAATTCTGTAAAGTTGCATGGTTCAGGTTATTTTTTCCTCTAAAACATTTCACAAACTCAGCAAAACTTCCTAGACATGTTATGTGATATATATTAAAAATCTCAGAGGGAACAAATTTTACAAAAATCCAGAAAAAATAGCTAAGTTTTTTTTATGTTTTCTGACAAGATTCTCACAATTTATATTTACAGGTGCCTGCACGTAGAGATGTACATATTCACATACTAATGTAAACCTACATTGCTTACCAGAGAGCCACTGAAGACATTTAGGTTTCTTTTCAGATGGTAAATAGACTCCCAAATAATATGCAGGAATTCCAGAGAGGGCTATGCCAATTCCAATGAGAGCATGGATTGTATTGCTATAGAGAGGAACCATGACGAGGAAGATGGAACATAAACAGTATACTACAGGAAAGAAGAGGCTGAGCTGCAGATACAAAAAGATCAATGTGAATTAAAAGAAGCAATCAAACATACTGTTGAAAAATGTGAGGCCTTACACACTGAAATGCTAATGAGGCTTGCCTGTAAGGCTTGCTCGGCCTGGAAGAGGGAGGGAAGCTAAAAAAAGGGAAAGCTGTTACAGGAAGGAGTGGTGAAGAAGAGGTGGGTTGCTTCACCTCATAGACTACTGACAACAGAGACACATCAGCCAAAAGGAAGACACTGTCCCTAAAGCTGTACCGACCAGCTGTGAAGCAAGATGCCCCAAGAGGATGGGCTGGAGTTAGATCCTAATAAAAGACAATAGACCTATTAATAGGCCAAGCCCAAAAAGCTGAATCTAGAAAGATGGGCTAGAGACAGGCCACCTTTCCCTTCACTTGGAAGGACCTTTCTTTTGCCTCTTTTTTGGTTTAACTTGAGGACCCTTCATATACTACAAAGTGGGGGGAAGGACATTATAAATGACTTGAAGAGTCTGGAGGAGAATTGGGGGATCACCTCTGCCCCCCAGGTGTAAATGCATGTGTGTGTCTGTATCTGTCCATCCTGTTTCCAGGATGTCACAAACTCAGCTCCAATTGCCATTTATGAGAGATCCACAAATGCAGTAAGAGCAGAGCACTGAAGCTGAGCACTACCATGTAGGGAATTTTTTCTCTAAGCTTTGAGTGCAGAATTTTTATCATTTGTATGTCAGAACTTGAATGAACCCAGCTTGACTTTCAAGAGTTTAGAGTTTGCAGAGTTGACAGTTAGAAACACATAATTTTGCTTGTAAAATCAGCAAATCTGATATGGAAATAACTGGAAAACAAATAGGGAAGCCCAAAATAAACTTTTTTACAGATTCATTTCTCAAAGTAGAACCAAACTGATACCTCGCCACTGTTCTCAAGAACAGCCTTTCACAACATCATGACATTTTAAGAGCTAGCTGTAATGTATAAGACAGAGAAAGAGGTTTTGTATAAATATTATTTTTATGTAAATAAAATGTAAATTGAGGAAAACAATACACTGTGAGTGCACAAAATTCCATGGAAAAATATGAGGTCAGCTAAGCAGGCAAAGAGTAACAGAAATTGATAAATTGGCACCCATAGTCAGCTTAGATAAACTCTCTGCATGCACTCTTGGGTGTACTGAAGTCTATGGCAAAATTCCCATTGATTTGAATACGGTCAGGATTTCACTCTCTCTCCTCTCTTCTGCCTATTAGCTGGAGAGTTTGTAAATTAAGTGTGAAGACAATAAATTTTATCAAGGCTATTTGTTGTCAAGCAGGGCTGCATATAGTAAAGTGTGGAATCCAATAGTTCATTTTTATAACTTTTTGTGGGCTGCAGCAGACCGATGAGCAGCTTATGTTTTGTCGGTCTGATATCCAACAGAAAGCAGAGCTGGCTGGTCAAAAAACAGGAAAAATTTGAGCAAAAGTTTCCCCTGTTGCTTGTTGTGATGTGTGGTTTTTTGTTGTGTTTTTTACATTCAAAATTTGAATGAAATTTTCAAACTTGACATTAAAAAAAATTGACTAGCTTTGGAGAATTAGAAAGTTGACTAGCTTTAGAGAATGTACTTCAATGCTGATTGTACACAGGAGTTCTATTTTTGTGGTAGATGCTGGATAGGAATCAAAACATTGCGCTCTTTAATAACACAGAGACAAAAACTGATGCTGGTAAGGATGGTGCAGGAGACTGTGACAAGACAGAGTCAAAAATAAAAAGGTCTTTGGAAAAGCTCATGAAGGGGTATTAATTTGTATTCTATATTCACTTGTCTGACTGAATGTTACTGCGTAACACTCCTCTGTACTTGAAGAGTGTACAGGATACCATTTCCTGGAGGAGCCAAGTAGCATTAATATACCTCACTCCCCCACTACCATATGTATCTTGGATGGCAAAATATATATGGATGAGGGAAGAGGAAGTAAAGTACTAGTCCTACAAAAGAAGGAGAGGTGGAACTATTGTCTGGCAGCTCAGAATTTCCCAAACTATGAGAGGTATAATCCAACCTGAATATCGAACTGTGTCAGAGTCCTAGGCACCCTGGCTGTAACTATAGCAATGTAGAGATCCACTATGAGAAAAAATTATTAAACAAAAATAAGGGCCCATCCAGTTTACACACGATGGATTAAGGAGCCTAGACAATTTCATTTTAAAAACAAAGAGGGTTTTATCTGATGAAGTGAGCTGTAGCTCACGAAAGCTTATGCTCAAATAAATTGGTTAGTCTCTAAGGTACCACAAGTCCTCCTTTTCTTTTTGCGAATACAGACTAACACGGCTGCTACTCTGAAAGAAGCAAAAATGAGTCACAAAATCAATAAATGTCAATTTTTATACTGTATATAGCAAAAATGCCATAATAGATATCCTTCTGAAAGCTGGAATACAATTTGCTCCTTAACTTGTGACAATGTATGTTAAAAGGACTTATGTGGCTAAAAAGAGTAGCATATAAGGGAAGTGCTGACACATCCTTAGTACTAAGGATATATACTGTAATGTATATACAAACAGATGCATTGACTGTATATTATGTTTTATTTCCTTCTGTAATGTACTTACTTTAATAGGCCGTGGCCTATCAGGCTGAGTATGTCTCAGGTATATTAATCCTGCAATAGACAGCCCAACATACAGCCAGTAGTTGAAGCTGTAGTAATTAATGAGGAGAAAGACATCTTCCACAAGGAGGTAGAGCAAAGTCATGAAACCCTACAGACATAAAAAGGGGGGGGGGAAGCCTTTTTAAGTAACAAAATAGTTTTCTTATGAAACAAAAACATACTATATATTAATTACTATATATCAAAGGCCTGATTTTTAGTGGTGGTGAGCTCTTAAGTTCCAACTGAAATCACTGGGAGCTGTGGTCTCAGAACCGCTAAGAAATCTATAAGTGCACTGATGGACAGTGCTCAGGGAATGAGCAGCTGTTCTGTATTTCATTTTCTCCTCACTGCTCAAAGTGTGGTCCCATACCTTATTTACCTCACACCAGTCAAATCCTGCTCTGAAGACAGAACCATTGATTTCCTCATGGGCTTGTCTATGGTGCTCATCAGCATACTATCTGAGTGCTTCACAAACATTAGTTTATCATCACAACACCCACGTTAGGTGAGGGGGTCATATCCCCATTTTACATATGGGAAACTGAGGCATAGAGGGACTACAGGTCAAAAATTTCCACCTATGTGGTGTCTAACTTGAGACACCTAGAACCTGTGTTGTCAGAGTTCTGAACATTATACAGTGCTCTATATAAAGCATGGCTCTCATTGACTTCAGTTACATCAGTGAGTGCTCAACACTACTGCAAATCACATCCAGGGTCTCAAGTCAGGAACCCAGAAAAAGAAGAACAGATAATTAGTGACCACCTGTGAATAGTATGGTCTAGGGACTTGCCTAGCATCACAGTGGAATATCTCAGAGAGGCAGGGACAGAATCCAGTTCTCCAGGGTGACATTCAGCTGCCTTAACGATGAGGCCATCCTTTCTCTTCCTGAAATTCTCTGGCTCATTCATGACTCCCCTTCCAACTTCTAAATTAGGCAAGGACCCAACAAACAACAACCTGCTCCCAGGCCCACCTCTTGTCCTCTCTGCATTTGAGTCCGGAGGCTTCCACCTCCATTCTGCCTGGGTGCCAGCAGTTTGAGGGGGCGGGGGTGTCATTGAGGCTATGTCTACACAGGAATAAAAGACACTTGGCCTTGGGCTGCAAGAGTGGAGATACGGGAGCTTGGGCTTCAGACTGACCCTGATCGTCTACACAGCAATTTTTTTTTTTTTTGAGCCTCACAGTCTGAGTCCTACAAGCCCAAGTCAGCTGATCCAGGACAGCCACAGCCATGGCGTGGGTCTTTTATCCCTGTGTGGATGTACCCTTCAAGCACAGGAGAGAGACACTCCCTGCTCTCTGTTCCAGTGCCTACCCCAGCCCCAGCCCAGAACAGCTGGGAGCAGCCACTAACAGGAAAGTTCTGCTTCATCCCTGTTGCTCTGGGCTGGTGGAAGCACGGGCAATTGCTCGATGGGGGCAGTCAATTTGATCAGCAGTAGGAGCTCTGAAGGGATGGAGTATGCACAGTGAGTACTGAATTTTCAGAGATTTTAGCAGCTAAAAACTGAAGAAGTCTCTCCTAAGCATGTGTTAATGGAGACTCTGAAAAGGCTTATCTCTTGGCCAAATTTGGGCAGATTTTCACAAGGTCAGCAAAAGGCACATTCCTGACACAAAGGCCACTCACTCCTCTTCTGAATTTCAGATAATTACTCCAAAGCACATGGGCACCAGAGCTGTTCAAAATAATTTTTTTTAAAAATCACCATGATTTTTTAAATTGGGCAAAACATTATCATTCCCTAGCCTCATTCTCAGAGGTTGCTGGACTGTTTTGGTGGAAATTTTCCAAAATATTGATGCCTGAGGCAGACATCTGGCATGTAAAATTTTAGCCCAAGTGGTTACATTTTGGCAAAGTTATAAGCAATACTAAACAAAGCGTCATAATCGGGAGCGTTAGGCAACCTCAGTAACAGTCAGTGCTACTGGCCTTGGGTATATTTTAAGAGCATATTAAAATAGGCTACCCAGGCAGGCCTGTACTCACATGAGCACAACTACAATTTCCTACAGTATCTTTCTGTCACGCCCCTTGCTCCCCTTCATGAATGCTTCTCTGAGGAATAGCCTGGGCTTGAAGTTACCCCAGGAGCTTTGTCATGGAATTGTTCAAGTGAACTGTAAGGCAACCTTTATGAAAAAACTTAGTCAGTCCTCTGGGTGGCTACTGAACACAGAGTTCAATGTCATCACTCATTCTTTCTTTCTTTTCTCCTTTGGACTGTTAGATTTGTCAAATTTGCAAACTTTACTCATTTTATCTAATGTACTTTATTTATTGATCCTGCCCCACAGAAGTCAATGGGAGTTATGACATGAGTTAAGTTTAATAGTAACAATAATAACACCACCAATATTTATATAATTATTTTGTGTTCAAAGCACTTTACAAATATTAGTCAGTCTTCACATCTCTCTGGTAAGGTAGGCAAATATGTATTGTTTTCCTCCTTTACGGATGAGGAAACTGAGGCGGAGATGTTCAACTGATTTGCCCAAAGCTAGAAGAGGAGTCAATATCAGAGCCATAATTAGAACTGAGGAACTCCTAGCTCACATTCTTGGGCTCAAGTCCACCGGACAACACAATACAACAATTTTAACTTTTAAATATCTGCCTTGGAACAAACACTGTATAGTACATTGTATTCCTGTGCACTGAGAACAATTAAGCAAAGATTCTCTTCCTTGTACTAGAATGCTCCTCTTTTTGAGCTTTCTACAAACAATTGGACTTCAATGAAAGTTATGGTATTTAGCCCAAAAGACTGCAGAACTGAGTCCAGATGTGATTAAGCCTAAAATCTCTGAATCTTAACCACTGATTTATTAAAGAGCTCAACTGAAGGAGTGCATTCTTCCCTTAATAAACACAGAAAACTTCTATTCTGATAAATGGGAATTATGTTCACATGTTAAGAGAACAAACCCTTCCCTCTGATACAAGTGTAATTCCCACTAGTGGGAATATTCAGACTCAAATGACTCATTCCTAGATTCCTACATTAAGGCAAAAAGGCACTTTGATCATCTGCATAAGACAGGCTAAAGAATTTCACCAAGTGAAATGAATACTTTAATAAACAACAATAAATGCTTTATATTGGATTTTGCCCCTTCACTTTAATCTATTCGATTTCTGGATTAGTACTTGCAATCATTTGTTCTAATTTTGTATCTTACAGCTCCTTGTCCCTGTGTCCCACAATCTCATTTACAAGGAAATGTCAATCTTGCTCCATAACATCTCATTTTAATTTCTAAATAAGATTTTAAAAATATCTACAAGTGCTCATCACAAAGAAGATTCCTTTGTGCAATTAGAGAAGAACAAAGTAAATATGGATGTAAAAGTCTAGCTTTAGGAACCCAATTTTAAATACTTTGATCCAAGTACTTTAAGTGCTGTGACAAATGTGTGTATATATTGTTTTAAAATTCTTATATACTTTAGCCCATGACTACATAAAACATTCTTCATTGGGAAGCTGGTAGCATTTCATTGTGAGTCAATCTTCCTCTTACCCAAAGCTAACTAAACTCATTCTCTTTTTAGCGTGTGGTATTCACCTGAGAATTTCAGGTATGTGGCTTTGTGAATATGCAAATCCACACAAAGACTTAGGCTATGTACGTACTACAGCTACGTCCATATTAGTTTTGTCAAGAGTGTGAATAAGCCACCTCCCTGAGCGATGCAAGTTACACTGACCTAAGCGCCGGAGTGGACAGCGCAATGTCGGCAGGAGAGTTTCACTCGCCAACGTAGCTACCGCCGTTTGCAGGGCCTGGAGTAATTCAGTCAATGGGAGATCTCCCTCCTGCCGCCATAGAGCGTCTGCACTAGCCGTGCTGCAGTGGCGCAGCTGTAAGCGCTGTGGTGCAGCTCTAGAACAACTGCTCTCTATGTTGTTATGCATTTTAAACCTTCTCTTTTTTCTAACCTCGATCAGAATACACAGACTAATTCACGTTAAATCTGGTATAAACTGGGGATATTGCAACAAAAATTCAAACTATTTTTAAAACTGATTCAGATAAACCCCTACAGATGATTTTATAACTAGTTTGGGCTGATTAACCCTGTCCTCCAGGCCTAATTCTCATTCACACTGAGATCACTTTACCTGGGTGGCCTTAGTGTAAATGAGAATCAGGCCGTGTGGTTCCAACTGTTTAAAAAAACAATTTAGTTCAACTAGCCATTTTGGGGACAGGCCTGGAGAAATTGAGTGTAAAGGGGATTTTTAATACTTTACCATTTTGCGATTCCTAAAATAGTGAGGGAAGAAGTGGGGAAGTACTATTACTTACATTAAAGAAAAGAGCAGGGATTGGTGTGAAACACTTTATATGAATCAAACTCAAACTGTCAGGAAGGTGTCCTTCTCTGGCTCCAACATAAAAAAGCCTAACACAAAAGGAGAGAAAAAAGTCTAATTAGCCAAGCAGAGTCCTTCTGCTTTTCCACAAAGGCAGAACCAATTATCTTATTTTTTGTTGTTGTAAACATTGATGGAGAAAAATGCTTTTCTGTTGTAAGTACCATTCTTTTGTCCACCTTTGCCTTTCACTGAATAATGGACAGCGCTAATGTACATGCCAGGGCACAAAAACGCCTCCATCATTAAGAAATGATTTGACTTAATGGGACAAATGTAGATCAGACTACTAGGTAATCAGAAGACTGCACTTGCCCCATTTTAAGTAGCTCTTCATTTGAGAGTTCCTATAATAAAATCTGTACTACTGACAATCGTACTTCACTGCAAGCATACGTTTACTGTAGAAACATTGCACATTTCATTGAAAGAACTTCCTGTAGCCTGAAATATACTGAATGCTATTGCTCCTAAAATGTCAAAAGTCCCTACCAGGACTATCAAAAGCCACCACAATGCTTAGAGAGGGGGCAATTTGACAGCAAAAAAGTATATAGTCCAGTCCAATCCTCTGTGCTGAGCATGCTTTCTTTTTAGGGGAGAGGAGCCATATCTGCACCTTTGCATAGCTGGAGAAGCTCCATGCAGTCTTTTAGATTGTAAGCTCTTTGGGACTGGAATAATCATTTACTATATGTTTGCACAGCACTAGCACAAAGGAACTTTGACCTTGTTTGCCTCTAGTCACGAGCACAACGTTTAACTAACTATCTGCTGGTTTCAGGGTAGCAGCTGTCTTAGTCTGTATTCGCAAAAAGAACAGGAGGACTTGTGGCACCGTAGAGACTAACCAATTTATCTGAGCATAAGCTTTCGTGAGCTACAGGTCACTTCATCGGATGCATTCAGGGGAAAATACAGTGGGGAGATTTATATACATAAAGAACATGAAATAATGGGTGTTACCATACAACTGTAACCAGAGTGATCACTTAAGGTGAGCTATTACCAGCAGGTGAGTGTGTGTGGGGGCGGGGACCTTTTGTAGTGATAATCAAGGTGGGCCATTTCCAGCAGTTGACAAGAACATCTGAGGAACAGTGGGGGGTGGAGATAGCGGGGGGGATAAACATGGGGAAATAGTTTTACTTTGTGTAATGACCCATCCATTCCCAGTCTCTATTCAAGCCTAAGTTAATTGTATCCAGTTTGCAAATTAATTCCAATTCAGCAGTCTCTCGTTGGAGTCTGTTTCTGAAGTTTTTTTTGTTGAAGTATTGCCTCTTTTAGGTTTGTAATCGAGTGACCAGAGAGATTGAAGTGTTCTCCAACTGGTTTTTGAATGTTATAATTCTTGAAGTCTGATTTGTGTCCATTTATTCTTTTACGTAGAGCCTGTCCAGTTTGACCAATGTACATGGCAGAGGGGCATTGCTGGCACATGTTGGCATATATCACATTGGTAGATGTGCAGGTGAACAAGCCTCTGATAGTGTGGCTGATGTGATTAGGCCCTATGATGGTGTCCCCTGAATAGATATGTGGACACAGTTGGCAATGGGCTTTGTTGCAAGGATAGGTTCCTGGGTTAGTGGTTCTGTTGTGTGGTGTGTGGTTGCTGGTGAGTATTTGCTTCAGGTTGGGGGGCTGTCTGTAAGCAAGGACTGGCCTGTCTCCCAAGATCTGTGAGAGTGATGGGTCATCCTTCAGGATAGGTTGTAGATCCTTGATGATGCATTGGAGAGGTTTTAATTGGGGGCTGAAGGTGATGGCTAGTGGCGTTCTGTTATTTTCTTTGTTGGGCCTGTCATAGAATCATAGAATCACAGAATATCAGGATTGGAAGGGACCTCAGGAGGTCATCTAGTCCAACCCCCTGCTCAAAGCAGGACCGATCCCCGACTAAATCATCCCAGCCAGGGCTTTGTCCCGTAGTAGGTAGCTTCTGGGTAGTCTTCTGGCTCTGTCAATCTGTTTCTTCACTTCAGCAGGTGGGCATTGTAGTTGTAAGAATGCTTGATAGAGATCTTATAGGTGTTTGTCTCTGTCTGAGGGGTTGGCGCAAATGCGGTTGTATCGTAGAGCTTGGCTGTAGACAATGGATCGCGTGGTGTGGTCTGGTTGAAAGTTGGAGGCATGTAGCTAGGAATAGCGGTCAGTAGGTTTCCGGTATAGGGTGGTGTTTATGTGACCACCACTTATGAGCACTGTAGTGTCCAAGAAGTGGATCTCTTGTGTGGACTGGTCCAGGCTGAGGTTGATGTTGGGATGGAAATTGTTGAAATCATGGTGGAATTCCTCAAGGGCTTCTTTTCCATGGGTCCAGATGATGAAGATGTCATCAATGTAGCGCAAGTAGAGCAGGGGCATTAGGGGATGAGAGCTGAGGAAGCGTTGTTCTAAGTCAGCCACAGACTCCAACGAGAGACTGCTGAATTGGAATTAATCTGCAAACTGGATACAATTAACTTAGGCTTGAATAGAGACTGGGAGTGGATGGATCATTACACAAAGGAAAATTATTTCCCCATGTTTATCGCCCCCTCACACACCCACCCTCCACTGTTCCTCAGACGTTCTTGTCAACTGCTGGAAATGGCCCACCTTGGTTATCCCTACAAAAGGTTTCCCTCTCTCCCCGGCTCTCCTGCTGGTAATAGCTCACCTTAAGTGATCACTCTGGTTACAGTGTGTATGGTAACACCCATTGTTTCATGTTCTCTATGTATATAAATCTCCACACTGTGTTTTCCACTGAATGCATCCGATGAAGTGAGCTGTAGCTCACGAAAGCTTATGCTCAGATAAATTTGTTAGTCTCTACGGTGCCACAAGTACTCCTTTTCTTTTAACTAACTACCGTAATTAACTAAATAATGCACTGTGGATAGCAGTGGGAGGGATAATGTAAGCCTCAAACAAACAGTACTGGAATGTGCTGGACTTTTCTCCTGAATTTGGTTCTTTCATACTTATAGCTGTAGACACAGAAGGTGAGACCTACAGGATTATAGCTGCATCTTGGTTTTAAGTGTTTTGGTTTTCTTCCAGTGTCTCAAGTATATACCTGTCCACAGACAACATGAAATTATGCTAAATACTTAGCTATAAAGCATGAACTATTAGCACTGAAATAAATATTTATTAACCCAAAATATTAAAAGCTTTATTTAGATTCAGATTAACTTGCAGCTATATACAGCAAATTCACCACATTTGTTAGGCCAAGGGCAGTGTTGCTCCCCACAAACGAATAATAACTCCACACTGCACTTGCATATTCTGAATTATTTTGCTTTGGCATTACAGAAAGATAACCATGGAACTATATGATATTATAGGACAAAGATGGTGCTAAATGATGACCTTTTATCCTCGGATTGTGGCATTCCTTCAGGTTTGGTACTTCTAATGTATTCATGCACATGGCAACATTAGCAGACTTTCAATTCTGTTGAATAGGATCTGTGTCAAATTTATGGTGAGATTGATGGTTTATATCTATGAAAGTTCAATTCTGGCTTGACTGAAAGGAATTTTTTTTCCCTTTGTTGGGCCTTGTTTTTCTGTTTAAAGCAGTTCCAATTCTGTTTATTATTTATGAGTTATCAACAGGAACTATTATTGGATCAGTTTCAAATATCACAGTATAGCAATATTCTTTGACAGATGAAAAAGGAAGAACACAAATATTCTTCAGTGTAATGCAAATAAAATTGGACTATTAATTGACTCTAAAATAACACCTCTATCCAGTTGTGCTATTTCTCATTGGAATCTGGAGATGTGCTCAGAGATCTCTTTGCCCTGGTGTACACAAGGACTTTAGGTCGAATTTAGCAGCATTAAATCGATGTAAACCTGCACCCGACCACACAATGAAGCCCTTTATTTCGACTTAAAGGGCTCTTAAAATTGATTTCCTTACTCCACCCCTGACAAGTGGATTAGCGCTTAAATCGGCCTTGCCGGGTCGAATTTGGGGTACTGTGGACACAATTTGATGGTATTGGCCTCCAGGAGCTATCCCAGAGTGCTCCACTGTGACTGCTCTGGACAGCACTCTCAACTCAGATGCACTGGCCAGGTAGACAGGAAAAGAACCGCAAACTTTTGAATCTCATTTCCTGTTTGGCCAGTGTGGCAAGCTGCAGGTGACCATGCAGAGCTCATCAGCAGAGGTGACCATGATGGAGTCCCAGAATCGCAAAAGAGCTCCAGCATGGACTGAACGGGAGGTACGGGATCTGATCGCTATATGGGGAGAGGAATCCGTGCTATCAGAACTCCGTTCCAGTTTTCGAAATGCCAAAACCTTTGTCAAAATCTCCCAGGGCACGAAGGACAGAGGCCATAACAGGGACCCGAAGCAGTGCCGCATGAAACTTAAGGAGCTGAGGCAAGCCTACCAGAAAACCAGAGAGGCGAACGGCTGCTCCGGGTTAGAGCCCCAAACATGCCGCTTCTATGATGAGCTGCATGCCATTTTAGGGGGTTCAGCCACCACTACCCCAGCCGTGTTGTTTGACTCCTTCAATGGAGATGGAGGCAACACGGAAGCAGGTTTTGGGGACGAAGAAGATGATGACGATGATGAGGTTGTAGATAGCTCACAGCAAGCAAGCAGAGAAACCGGTTTTCCCGACAGCCAGGAACTGTTTCTCACCCTGGACCTGGAGCCAGTACCCCCCGAACCCACCCAAGGCTGCCTCCTGGACCCAGCAGGCGGAGAAGGGACCTCCGGTGAGTGTACCTTTTAAAATACTATACATGGTTTAAAGGCAAGCATGTGAAAGGATTAATTTGCCCTGGCATTCGCGGCTCTCCTGGATGTACTCCCAAAGACTTTGCAAAAGGTTTCTGGAGAGGGCAGCCTTATTTGGTCCACCATGGTAGGACACTTTACCACTCCAGGCCAGTAGCATGTACTCGGGAATCATTGTAGAGCAAAGCATTGCAGTGTATGTTTGCTGGCGTTCAAACAACATCCGTTCTTTATCTCTCTGTGTTATCCTCAGGAGAGTGAGATATCATTCATGGTCACCTGGTTGAAATAGCGTGTTTTTCTTCAGGGGACATTCAGAGGTGCCCGTTCCTGCTGGGCTGTTTGCCTGTGGCTGAACAGAAATGTTCCCTGCTGTTAGCCACGGGGACGGTTGAGGGGGTAGCCACGCGGTGGAGGGAGGCAAAATGCAACCTTGTAATGAAAGCACATGTGCTATGTATGTAATGTTAACAGCAAGGTTTATCCTGAAAGAGTGTAGCCACTGTTTTATAAAATGTGTCTTTTTAAATACCGCTGTCCCTTTTTTTTTCTCCACCAGCTGCGTGTGTTTCAATGATCACAGGATCTTCTCCTTCCCACAGGCTAGTGAAGATTAGAAAGAAAAAAAAACGCACTCGTGATGAAATGTTCTCTGAGCTCATGCTGTCCTCCCACACTGACAGAGCACAGACAAATGCGTGGAAGCAAATAATGTCAGAGTGCAGGAAAGCACAAAATGACTGGGAGGAGAGGTGGCGGGCTGAAGAGAGTAAGTGGCAGGCTGAAGAGAGGGCTGAAGCTCAAATGTGGCGGCAGCGTGATGAGAGGAGGCAGGATTCAATGCTGAGGCTGCTGGAGGATCAAACTAGTATGCTCCAGTGTATGGTTGAGCTGCAGCAAAGGCAGCTGGAACACAGACTGCCACTACAGCACCTGTGTAACCAACCACCCTCCTCCCCAAGTTCCATAGCCTCCACACCCAGATGCCCAAGAACGCGGTGGGGGGGGGGGGGCCCTCTGGCCAACCAGCCACTCCACCACAGAGGATTGCCCAAAAAACAGAAGACTGGCATTCAATAAATTTTAAAGTTGTAAACTTTTAAAGTGCTGTGTGGCATTTTCCTTCCCTCCTCCACCACCCCTCCTGGGCTACCTTGGTAGTCATCCCCCTATTTGTGTGATGAATGAATAAAGAATGCATGAATGTGAAGCAATAGTAACTTTATTGCCTCTGCAAGCGGTGATCGAAGGGAGGAGGGGAGGGTGGTTAGCTTACAGGAAAGTAGAGTGAACCAAGGGGCGGGGGGGGTTTCATCAAGGAGAAACAAACAGAACTTTCACACCGTAGCCTGGCCAGTCATGAAACTGGTTTTCAAAGCTTCTCTGATGTGTACCACGCCCTCCAGTGCTCTTCTAACTGCCCTGGTGTCTGGCTGCGCGTAACCAGCAGCCAGACGATTTGCCTCAACCTCCCACCCCGCCATAAACATCTCCCCCTTACTCTCACAGATATTGTGGAGCGCACAGCAAGCAGTAATAACAGTGGGAATATTGGTTTCGCTGAGGTCTAAGCGAGTCAGTAAACTGCGCCAGCACGCCTTTAAATGTCCAAATGCACATTCTACCACCATTCTGCACTTGCTCAGCCTGTAGTTGAACAGCTCCTGACTACTGTCCAGGGTGCCTGTGTACGGCTTCATGAGCCATGGCATTAAGGGGTAGGCTGGGTCCCCAAGGATAACTATAGGCATTTCAACATCCCCAACAGTTATTTTCTGGTCTCGGAATAAAGTCCCTTCCTGCAGCTTTTGAAACAGACCAGAGTTCCTGAAGATGCGAGCGTCATGTACCTTTCCCGGCCATCCCACGTTGATGTTGGTGAAACGTCCCTTGTGATCCACCAGAGCTTGCAGCACTATTGAAAAGTACCCCTTGCGGTTTATGTACTCGCCAGCTTGGTGCTCCGGTGCCAAGATAGGGATATGGGTTCCGTCTATGGCCCCACCACAGTTAGAGAATCCCATTGCAGCAAAGCCATCCACTATGACCTGCACATTTCCCAGGGTCACTACCCTTGATATCAGCAGATCTTTGATTGCGTGGGCTACTTGCATCACAGCAGCCCCCACAGTAGATTTGCCCACTCCAAATTGATTCTCAACTGACCGGTAGCTGTCTGGCGTTGCAAGCTTCCACAGGGCTATCGCCACTCGCTTCTCAACTGTGAGGGCTGCTCTCATCTTGGTATTCATGTGCTTCAGGGCAGGGGAAAACAAGTCACAAAGTTCCATGAAAGTGCCCTTACGCATGTGAAAGTTTCGCAGCCACTGGGAATCGTCCCAGACCTGCAACACGATGCGGTCCCACCAGTCTGTGCTTGTTTCCCGAGCCCAGAATCGGCGTTCCATGGCATGAACCTGCCCTATTAGCACCATGATGCATGCATTGGCAGGGCCCATGCTTTCAGAGAAATCTGTGTCCATGTCCTGATCACTCACGTGACCTCGCTGACGTCGCCTCCTCGCCCGGTATCGCTCTGCCAGGTTCTGGTGCTGCATATACTGCTGGATAATGCGTGTGGTGTTTAATGTGCTCCTAATTGCCAAAGTGAGCTGAGCGGCCTCCATGCTTGCCTTGGTATGGCTCCGCACAGAAAAAAGGGGTGGAACGATTGTCTGCCGTTGCTCTGGCGGAGCGAGGGGCGACTGATGACATGGCTTACAGGGTTGGCTTACAGGGAATTAAAATCAACAAAGGGGGTGGCTTTACATCAAGGAGTATTTCAGGCAGGACTTCACGGAGGGTTCAAATAAGAAATGGTGCACCTAAGTAATTGTTCTTATTGGAACAAGCAGGTTGGTCTGGCCTCTGATTGATATGTGGCTAGATTTACCTCACTGCACCTTCTCTGTGAGTGACTGCAGTGTGACCTAGAGGAATGAGTCCCCTAGATGGGGGAGAGGGGGAAGAAAATGAGTACAAAACAAATCTGGTCTATTTCTTGTTTTGATCCACTCCATCAATATTTTACATCTTTGGCTGGCAGCAGACGGTGCAGAAGGACTGCAAGCCATCCACATCTCATGGCTGCTTGGCAGAAGACGGTGCAGTAGGACTGCTAGCAATCCGTATCGCCTGCCTGCTCACCATAAGATGGTTCAATAGGACTGACTGCAGGACTAAAGAGAATGACCTGGTCAAGTCACTCCAAATTTAGTCCCTGCGCCCATGTCTGCCCAGGCGCTCCTGGCCGATGTGGCCAGGAGCACCTTGGACATGACGATGATGGCTACCAGTCGTACTGTACCATCTGCTGCCACAAGGCAATGGGTTGCTGCTGCTGTGTAGCAATGCAGTACCATGTCTGCCAGCACCCAGGAGACATACAGTGATGGTTACCTGAGCGGGCTCCATGCTTGCCGTGGTATGGCGTCTGCACAGGTAACTCAGGAAAAAAGGTGCGGAACGATTGTCTGCCCTTGCTTTCACGGACGGGGGGAGGGAACGGGGGCCTGACGATATGTACCCAGAACCACCTGCGACAATGTTTTAGCCCCATCAGGCATTGGGATCTCAACCCAGAATTCCAATGGGCGGTGGAGACTGCGGGAACTGTGGGATAGCTACCCACAGTGCAACACCCCGGAAGTCGACTCTAGCCTCGGTACTGTGGAAGCACTCCGCCAAGTTAATGCACTTAATGCACTTAGAGCATTTTCTGTGGGGACACACACATTTGAATATGTAAAACCAATTTCTAAAAAAAACGACTTCTATAAATTCGACCTAATTTCGTAGTGTAGACATACCCTTTGTTTTATTTACTCAGATTTTACCCTACAAGCTTTCTGAGCCACAGAGTTTTGCATTGGGTTTTACCTACAAATAAAAGAAGCGAGGCACAAGCCCTGAGTGGCCTACAATCATAGGGCCACACTATGGCAACTAATTACTGCTTGGCAAAGGAGGCCGTGCTGAGCTGTTCTGGAAACATTGTGCCAAGACACAAGTGTACCTCATACAATGCCTCCCAAAGCACCCCACCAGGAAGGGGTAGTGAATCTGTTGTGTCACTAACTAGGAGGGGCAGTATACACAGATCTACAATTTTACAAGGCCTTCTCCCTATCATTCCTCATTTCTTTTGGGATGGTTCATTCCCCAGGTGGCACTAATAGGGAACATTCTTTGTGCACCAGGAATGCAATCCGTTTCAACCATGCATGGGCGTCTTAGACCCTCACTTCCTAGACCAGCCACATCTTCTTGTAGCAAGTCTGCCAGTCAAGTTAGACCAAAGAAACTCAACAGTCACTCCTGTTAACATTCTACTGCTACCTTTAGACTGCATTCTTAACATTATAGAATGTATTATTTATCCTACAATACTAAACGCCTGAAAGGGAGATAGTCACAGATTCTTAACTTCAGCAAGTCCCACTGCAATGTATTATTAAATGATGCCACTTACTACGAAGTGCTATTGATTGCCCTTGGAGTACCGGCTGCTTTTGACATGTTTGATGTTTCATACCTGGAAGCTGCAATAGTTGATGAGTTTAAGCCACCATAACAGGACATGGCCACTGCAATAGGAATTATCCACTTAGCATAACTAAGGGTTTCATTACCAAATGTCTGCAATAGAAAGAAAGAGCATGAGGCTAATTACATTAAATATACAATGACAGTCTGCAAAACTGTCAGGAAAATTTATCAGTCCAAGCACAGAGTCTCTTAGCCCATTCTTTACCATGATGATAATGAAAATTACTCCTGCTGAGCGGGTGATTGGAATTTTGAAAGGCTGATCAATGCTAAGATAAGTCCTACATTTGCATTAAATCAAAACTGGATTTTTGTTAATTTCTGTAAATTGGGTTTGAAATAGTGGTTGTCATGCAGATTAGGATATATAAATCTATGGTTGAATTGTGTGTTAATAACTATAGACTTTCCATATTGTATAATATGCTGACTATATTTGTTTGTATTTTGGGGGGGTGAAATGCTAATAAAAGTTTGAGCAGGGTTCAGCAAAAATTTGTCTCCCCTATTTTTGTCAGTATAGAGTGTGCAGTGACAATACTGAACACCATGAAGTAGAACTACAGCAAAATTGGACCCTAAAGCAATCCAAACTTTCTACTCCTTATTCTCTGGGTTTATTTAAAAAAAATGCTACATCTAGGTCATTGTTAGGATCAGTATTTGCAGAGATTATTAAATGGTTTAATAAGCATCAGTTCACAGAGATATGCATTATGCCTGAGTCATCACAGTGTACTGGTGGTATTACACAGGAACAAGTAGTTATTGCTATTAAACACACATACAGAGGAAATACTTTAATTGGTAGGGTAAGAAATCTGCTGTAAAGGGACGACATGAGAATCTTCCACAGAATTATATATATTGTAAACATTTGCCTTAATAAACTTCACACAACTTACCACTGCCACTGCGTCGCTTGTTAGGAGAGCTGGCATGTCCAACACTACATAGTATGCTATGTTAGTCAGCAAGTAAATAATGGTCACAATAGGCATTGAAATTGCAATTGAGAGGGGTAGATTCCTACAAAGAGAGAGAGAAAATGGTATTGCATCATATTGAAATGAGAAATGCTCCTCCCAAATACAAGTGCGTGGGGTAATATCTTTTATTGGCCCAGCTTCTGTTGGTGAAGGGGACAAGCTTTCGTGCTTACACAGAACTTTTCTGCAGGTGTGGGAACTTATTCAGGCCTGCTCTACATTACAGGGTTAGGTCGATATAAGCTGCCAACCTAGCTCCGGAAGTGCCTTCACTTAAATTTGGCTCCTGTCAATGTATGTGCCTCTCCATGCTGATTGAGGCTACGTCTACACTTTCCAAAGTAATTTAGTATCGAATATTACCCCTAAGAATTTGAACCTTTTAACTGTTAGGTGTAGACCAGGCCTTGGAAATGAACATGTTTCCAGAACACTAGTATAACTCCCTTGTCTCTCACTTTTGCCCCAGTTTATTATTACCCTTGATTTTGGCTCATTTCCTCGAAGGTAAAATACAGCACTGGCTGACCACAAAAAAAAAAAAAAAGTGGGAATTTGAAAGGGCCTGTGGAAGTTAGGCACCCAGATCCTATTCATTTTCAGTGGAAGTTGGATGCCCTAATTCCTTAGGTGCCTTTGAAAATCCCATCCTAAAAAGTAAAGAAAATAATGTCACATATGGAGCTATTGACTTTTTGATATAATAATCTGAAGAGAAAAAGGGAAATCACATAGGGGTAAGGTGCTTAGTAGGTCTTTTCAAAAGCTAGAATTTTTTTATGGATAGTAGTTTGATTAATTTCAAAATTAGGACAACCCCGCCCCCCCACAACAAACTGAACTCATCCATTGGGTCATTGAACAATCTATCTTGTCACATGGTCATGTTTTCATAATCTTTGTAACACTTTGGAGGATTTGAGAGTATGCACAAACCTTTCAGGATTCCTCATCTCCTCAGTGACATAATTCAGGGTATCCCATCCAGAGTAGGAAAAGAGGGCTGAATACAGAGCAAGTGCTATACATCCTATATCAGTTGTTGAACCTTCAAATGGAGTTTTAAGATTTTCTGTTTCTCCTATGTAAATATTATAACGCAGTTATAAGTTATGTTTAAATATTTTTCGGTCTTATCTAATTTAAGTATATACACTTCAGCTAAACAAAATAAAACAAAAGCTACTGTTCTCAGACCATAATAAAACCTTTTTAAAATATATAGATATTTTCATAGCATTGGAGATATAAAAAAGCTTAGTCAGTTAGAGACATCAGCACATTCACAAATTGTGATATGGAACTACACATGTAAGTAATGTTTTTCCATATTTGTTGTCTGACTATTATGGGACTAGTTCTGACTTGATTAATAAGGTACTGCCATTGACTTCAGTGGGACCATCCACACCCTCTGTTAAAAGCCCAGGAGAGTGTGACCAGTGGATTGGATGGGAATCAGGAGGCTAGAGTTCTATTCCTGGCTCCTTCTCTGACTTGCTGTGCAACTCACGTCATGGCAGTTTCCCCATTTATAAAATGGGGTTAATTATAGTTACTTTCTTTTTTAAAGCACTTTGAATTCTAGGGATAAAATTGCTATATAAAAGCATAATATTGTCATTTTTATAAGTTAATTTCTGTAATGCATTTATTAATGTGAAATCTGATATGATGTAATTCTAATTATCTACAGGTATCTGTGTAGATTTCTTTAAGTATCCAGCAGGGGAAGAACTCCTGGGATCCAGGTTTTCATTAGCATGCTAAAGAAACTGATTTGAATAAAAATGTTTACCTCAAATATGCAGGGAAAGTGGAAGTGGAGGAAAGACTTTTAAAATGACCAGATATGCAGAAGGAAATTGAAAAATCACTTATAAATAGAAATGGAATTATGTATTATGAGTGAGATGAGCATTCAGACACTTTACTCAGTTATAAACAAAGGGAGGACTTCTTTATAAAGTCACCCTGGACACTAAGAAGGTAGTTAAATATGGGGAATTCATGGGTTGCACACAAGCAGTAAGCTATGGAGACCGACAGCGTAAAGTTTGCAGCTACTAGTGTTTCACCTTTGTAACAAAATCTCATACCCAGTTACTGTTAGAATTGTGATAGGTGGAGTTAAATCATAGGATCCATCTACACTCCATGGAGAGAGAGTGCAGATGGGGGTCTGTGCTGACAAAGAGAGACACCTCTGACTTTAGTGGTATCAAAACAGAGTGACAGGGCTGAGAAACTTACCTTCTAAAAACAGCATGGTTTCAAAATCACAAGCATTCATAATGTCCAAAAAATAAACACATTTGACTATATCAGGAATACTGAAGCTAGGGAAAAACATAACTGTTCTCAGTAAAATAACTGCTGAGTGAAAGAGTGTTGACCCGATCTAGGGTGACCAGACAGCAAATGGGAAAAATCAGGACAGGGAGTGGAGGGTAATAGGAGCCTATATAAGAAAAAGACGCAAAAATTGGGACGGTCCCTATAAAATCAGGACATCCGGTCACCCTAACCTGATCAAAAATTCCTCTGAGTTTCCTTCATCCTTCTCCCCAGCTTCCTATTGCTTCCCCATTTTAATACCCTGAATCTATTTAAATATAATACAGATTAGGTTGCGCTTATCCCCTACTAGTTTAGGGCTTGTCTACACTTACAGCACTGCAGCAGTTGCAGTGATTAGTGAAGATGCTACCTACTCCTATGGGAGTATCTCCTGTTGGTGTAGGTACTCCACCTTCCTGAGAGGCAGTAGCTATACCGACAGGATACGCCCTTCCATCGACATAGCGCTGTCTACACTGGGAGTTTGGTCGGTATAATGCATCGCTCAGGTGTGTGGATTTTCCATACCCTTGAGCGACCATAGTTATACAGACATAAGTTCATAGCATAGACTAGGGCTTATCAGATGACTTGACTCCCACTGAAAGCTCTTAGCAGTCTTCATTCACAACAAAAACATTTGCCACCCCTCCATCTCTGTTTTCCTAGCCAGATTAGAAAATATAATAGAGAATGACAATCAGCAGTGTTCTCCTCCCCCATTCTCACTCCTTGTCCTTATCGCTATGTTCAGCAGTTTGCTTCTGATCAGAGCTGACAGGTCACAGACAACTCACATGATCTGACCTACTAAGGCCTGTTTACACACAAAAGCTATACTATTTTTCCTATACTGGTATAAATAGTATAGCTCCCTGAGGATGGGCACAGTAATATCAGTATAAAGGTGTTTATGCCAGTGTAGCTTATTTATGAACAGGAACAATGAATTACTTATTTATTGCCTATCTATTTTTATTAGTCTGCCTTGCCTTTTAGAGTACTAGCTCTTCAAGAGTGAGGTTGTCTTTTATTATGTGGTAATGCAGTGGCGAGCACAATGGAGTTTATAATCCTGGTTGGACCCTGGTTCTCCCAGAATACAGACAATAAAATACCATCCTAAACCCTGTCTTTACTATAGGCCTCTCTCCAATAGCATTTTCTCTTCTATTAAACTGAAACTCCTCAGTCCTAACTACATTATGGTCAAAAAAGTGACCACATAAAATGGTCCCTACATATCCCACAAGATTGTTCCTTGTACATATTGACTAGGGCTGTCGATTTAATCGCAGTTAACTCATGCAATTAACTCAAAAAGGTTAATTATGATTAAAAAATTTCATCACAATTAATCACAGTTTGAAATGCACTGTCAAACAGTAGCATACCACTTGAAATTTGTTAAATATTTTGGATGTTTTTCTACATTTTCATATATATTGTATTCTGTGTTGTAATTGAAATCAAAGTGTATATTATTTTTATTACAAATATTTGCACTGCAAACATGATAAACAAAAGAAATAGGATTTTTCAATTCACCTCATACAAGAAATATAGCGCAATCTCTTTCTCATGAAAGTGCAATTTACAAATGTAGATTTTTGTTACATAACTGCACTCAAAAACAAAACAATGTAAAACTTCAAAGCCTACAAGTCCACGTAGTCCTACTTCTTGTTTAGCCAATTGCTAAGTTTACATTTATAGGAGATAATGCTGCCCGCTTCTTATTTACAGTGTCACCTGAAAGTGAGAACAGATGTTCACATAGCACTTTTGTAGCTGGCACTGCAAGGTATTTAAGAGCCAGATATGCTAAACATTCATATGCCCCTTCATGCTTTGGCCACCATTCCAGAGGACATGCTTCCATGCTGATGATGTTTGTTAAAAAAATAATGCTAAAATATAATGAGGTAATTAAATTTATGACTGAACTCCTTGGGGGAGAACTGTATGTCCCCTGCTATTTTACGTGCATTCTGCCATATATTTCATGTTATAGCAGTCTCGGATGATGACCCAGCACATGTTGTTCGTTTTAAGAACATTTTCACAGCAGATTTGACAAAACGCAAAGAAGGTACCAGTGTAAGATTTCTAAAGATAGCTACAGCACTCAATCCAAGGATTAAGAACCTGAAGTGCCTTCCAAAATCTGAGTGGGATGAGGTGTGGAGCATGCTTTCAGAAGTCTTAAAAGAACAACTTTCCAATGCAGAAACTACTGAACCCAAACCATCAAAAAAGAAAATCAACCTTCTGCTGGTGGCATCTGACTCAGATAATGAAAGTGAACACGTGTTGGTCTGCACTGCTTTGGATTGTTATTGAGCAGAACCCATCATCAGCATGAAGGGACATATGAATCTTTAGCGCATCTGGCATGTAAATATCTTGCGACACTGGCTACAGCAGTGCCATGAGAATGGCTGTTCTCACTTTCAGGTGTCATTGTAAACAAGAAGAGGGCAGCATTAACTCCCACAAATATAAACAAACTTGTTTGTCTGAGCAATTTGGCTGAACAAGAAATGGGACTGAGTGGACTTGCAGGCTCTAAAATTTTACATTGTTTTATTTTTGAATGCAGGGTTTTTTTTTACATAATTCTATATTTGTAAGTTAAACTTTCATGATAAATCAATTGAACTACAGTACTTGTATTAGGTGAATTTAAAAATACATTTGTTTGGTTTTTTTACAGGGCAAATACTTGTAATCAAAAATAAATATAAAGTGAGAACTGTACACTTTGTATTCTGTGTTGTAATTGAAATCAATATATTTGAAAATGTAGAAAACACTCAAAAATAGTTAAATAAATGGTATTCTATTATAGTTTAACAGTGGATTAATCACACAATTAATTGCAATTAAGTTTTTTAATTGTGCAATTAATCACGATTAATTTTTTTAATCACTTGACAGCCCTAATATTGACAAATTTATGGCTGCTTACTTTTCTGACAAAAATAATTTTTACTATTTTTTTTTACATTTGTTAGCATTGCAGAGTTTTATCTGTGTGAGAGCAAGTCTGCAAAATGAACCTGGGATCTGAAATTTGAGCAGTCCTCTTTCTGATTCACACATCATCACTAGCAGTAAAGATTCTGCAAACAGCATTTAGTTAAAAGAAAAGAAGTACTTGTGGCACCTTAAAGACTAACCAATTTATTTGAGCATAAACTTTCGTGAGCTACAGCTCACTTCATTGGATGCATACTGTGGAAAGTGTAGAAGATCCTTTTATACACACAAAGCATGAAAAAATACCTCCCCCCACCCCACTCTCCTGCTGGTAATAGCTTATCTAAAGTGATCACTCTCCTTATAATGTGTATGATAATTAAGTTGGGCCATTTCCAGCACAAATCCAGGTTTTCTCCCCCCCCCACACACACACAAACCCACTCGCTAGCAAGAGAGTGGGTTTGTGTGTGTGTATGCACCCGATGAAGTGAGCTGTAGCTCACGAAAGCTTATGCTCAAATAAATTGGTTAGTCTCTAAGGTGCCACAAGTACCCTTTTCTTTTTTGCGAATACAAACTAACACGGCTGTTACTCTGAAACCTAATTTATTAGAGTATAACCATGTTGTAATCCCTATTCATCCTCTACAGCTAAAAATGGACAAGGGTAGACTAAGGCAGTTTAGGCTAAGGTGTGGTTTCAAGGTTGTATGAAGACTAGGGTTCAGATTTGCGGGCACTGAAAACATGTCCTGTTCTCATGAAAATATTTGGCCCCATATTGCGAACTATTGAGACACTGGGTCCAAGCCCCGGGTTAGTGTGATTTGTGTGTAGAAGGAAGGGGGCTAGCCTTGAACTTGAGTTTGAACCCTGGGTTTACATTTGGGTGGCGCAAATGTCTACACTGACATTTTATAGCCCTGCAGACCAGTGTCCAGGTGTGCCGAGGGTCTTTTATTGCAGTGTAGATGGAGCTTAAAGCGTCCTACAAAGCAATATAGCTGTCACCTCTTTTTCAGGATGTTAACAGCTATTTCCCAGTGCATAACATTTTATATTAAAGTGCTGTGGATTCTGATACTTCTGTATTTTGACTCTCAGATACTGTTCAGTTTTTTTAAAAAAGTCTGTAAAATGAACTATATTCTTACCTTTACTAATTTTGTAAAGACCCACCGAGATGATCATGATAAGGGCCATAACTTTTGCATATGTGAACAGATCTTGTACTCTGGTTCCCCACTTCACATTGACACAGTTAATAAATGTTAAGGTGCCTATTGAGAAAAGGAATACAAATGAGATAGGTGCTTTCTTAAATACATCTTTCAAGAAAATGAAAGTTACCAGTACAGAAAAACTCTGTCAATACTTCAGAATTATCTAGACTTTTACTGAAAGCAATAGAAATTGACTCTATCGTTAATTTTTGTCAGTTTTTATTTTTTATATTTTAAAATGAAGTAAAACTTACTGCATGGAGGCTGCCATTTTCTGGTAATAGGCTGGAAGAAAGAGAAATTAGGAGAGGAAGGAAGACATTCTGCTTTGAAATCAGTGGAAAGCACTGGGTTTTGATTTTAGGACCAACCAGTGTTTATTATATTTGAGTAATCTCATTGATTTCAGTGGGGCTACTTACATAAGGCAGGCAGGATTCTTAATATTATTTATTTGGATTACAGTAGTGCCTAAAGTCCACAATGGAGATTAAGGCTCCATTGTGATAGGCTCTGAGACAGTCCCTGCCTCAAAGACTTTGCAGTCTAAATAGACAAAGAATGCAAGAAAGGAAACTACATTTTGCACAAGGAGAACTGAAATTATGTTGCTGTTCCATGGTCATACAAGAAAGCCTGTAGCAGAGTTGGGATTTGAATCCACATTCCCTGAGTGGATTTGAATCCACATTCCACTCCTCTATTAGGTCATCCATTTAACTCATCCTTAATCACAAGTCCAATTTTCTTCTTTTGGGCCCTCACTTTGTATTTCTTTGTTGCTAGCCAGTAGGGCTGGTTGGAACATTTTCACCCCAAAATATGCTGTTTTGTCAAAGCCAAAACATTCCTGGTCCAAGTTGAGGCTGAGCAAAGAGAGAGTCTCGGTAGCCTGTTGGCTAGGGTATTAGCCTTGAAGCGGAAAGAAGGGGGTTTAAGTCTTTACTCTACCTGTTTGGAGTGATCTGGGATGAAAAACTCTACTCTAAACAGTGAGTTTGGTCTCCCAGAACAGGGCCTTATCCACCAGCCTACACGTGTACTCCAGTGGTTTTTGTGAAAACATTCAGAAGGTTTTGTTTTCATTCCAATGCAGAACAAAAACAAAATTTGAAATCTCAAATGTTGCCAGGAAATGGAACTGTCCTCCTGTCAGCTCTACTCGCCAGTGCCTAGGAATTTCAGATGGAGAGCGAATGTGCACACTCCTTTTTGGGAAACATCCCCTTGTCCTGCCTTATTCAGCCCTGACAATCTTTCCTCCAACCCTCCAGCTTGACCTCAGCACTATGGCCAACCTACCATCTGGGACAATGATCTAGGAAGGAGGCAGAGATCAGAGACACAATATTTGTGAGGTGGGTGGGTGGATGTGCAGTTACCTATTAGGTCATCCATTTAACTCATCCAGTAGGTGCTTGTCAATGCAGAATTTTCCACTGCAGTATGTTCTCCAATTCTTTGCTTGAGACATTTAAAATTAGATGAATAATGGGACTGCCCTCACTTCCTTTGAGAGAGATTTTCATAATATAACAGATCGCACTGTTAGGATGCTTTTCCTAATGCTCACCTTACATTTACAGAGGGAAGGAAAAAAGAAACTACAACATGGAAATGCTTCTCCTTTGGGGTCAGATTCTACACTGACTTGTGCAACCACATGGACTGTGTGGGGAGTGTCTGAAGTTGCAAATCAGCAAAGCATTTGGTCCTTAGAACTTCAGACTGGATCTCAGGAAGGAGTAACCTGCTGTAGCAATATCCAAAGATCATTTAGAAGCTATTAGCTGCCAAGTGCTATTAGAAACTTAGTAACCTACTTCCTTCTCAGAACAAGGAACAGTGTGTGACTCTTTGGGTCACACTTTGTTCCCTGGTCTGTTCCTGTCCCTGACACAGTGTAAAGTCACTTTATTGCTAAACTGGATCTCCACTGAGCCTTGATACCCTTGTGCTGATGAAAATAGCCCGTTTAGTCAGGGAAGTTAAAACCGAATGAGGTGATAGACTAGTCCATCAGCTGCCACATGTCAGCAGCACTAGAAGCTCAGGCAGTGGAGGGGGGACTCTGCCAACATAACCTACCCCCAAGAGAACGCACAGAAATAGAGGTGGTCGCACTGTACAACTCAGTGCTGCAAAATGGAGACCAGTAGGGGATGTGGGCACACTGCATAAATCAGCAAAGCAGCAGGGCTAACTGACTCTTTCCTCAACTCAACAGCGGCTGGCTATGAGGTGTAAAGTGCCCTGGAGCACTGGCTAGGGACAAGGACTCCTTTCTCTGTAGCCTTTAGTAGGCCTTTTTTGACACAATTTGCTCACAGAAAATCTCTCTCATTTGGGCTTTGCTCCAGGGTTTTACCCTTTCATCCACATCTCACTTTTCTTTAGTTTTAAATGGGGAAAAAGCTATTACAGCCATTTAAATTATATTGCAACTTAAAAATTATTCTTTACAATGGTGAAAATAGTATCCAATATATAAGACTCCAATCCTGCAAACATTTACACACATGCTTACCTTTATTACTGTGAGTAGTCCCGTTGATTTCAGTGGGACTACTGTGCCCTTTGAGGCTTGATACACCATGGCATTTCTCTTTAATATACCACTGTGATATCAATGAAATCAGTGGTGTTACACATTAGCACACAACTGGAGTAATGCAGTGGTAACAGGCTCTTGGTCTAAAAAATATTAGATTTTACAGTGAATTGTTCTAAGACAAACACCTTTTTAATATCAGAGTAGGGTCTCATTTGAAATGTATCTGCTATCTGAGTGATTTCTATAAAGCCCACTCTATTAACAAATGTGGTGTGCACATTAAAATAAGATTCCATTCTCTATAATCTAAAATCACCATCTAGGCACTGGTAACTTACAGTATTCCTTATTCCTAGAAGAGAACATTTGCTTTGTCAGAGTTTGTAGCTAAGACCATGACAATGCCAAGCGTCAAATTATATATTTCAACTGCCAAACCAAACATCCCTCTCAACTGTCCCATATTTTAGATCCAAATATAACGCTTTCACACATTATGTTCTCCCTTTTTATGTCTGTAAATGAGTGGAATCAGGAACTCTACTTGATCAGGGTATGAAAATTTTCAGAGTAAGGAACTGAACCCCCAAAGTTTTGCTATTTTAAAAAATGAATTCCTCATTTCGAACTGATCCAATGTTGGATGAAGTGAATGGATGAACTCCCATTGGCTTCAATGGGCATTGCAACAGGGCCTTAGTATCAGGGACATAATTTAAATTCCAGGGTCCTATATTTGCATATGGACAGATTAAATACTGAGAAAGCCACCTACTCTAATACAACTGTTTTGGGAAAGATCTAGAAAATAAATTTTATTCCTTTACCATCTCCCTTTGTTTCAGCAGAGAAAGCAATTAGAGCCTTCTCATTCTTTTAATACCCTCTAGCACTGAGAGGCAGAGCTGTAGATTCCTATGAACGTAATTGCCCAAAAAGGAAAAAGGAGGCTGCTCTAGGTGAAAAATTGTAGCTTTTTGAGTTAGCTCAAGTGACTAAAGAGTCTCCCCCCCCCCCCGACTTAAAATTATTTTACCACTGAAAAATATTTGATTTTGGATTGTTGATGTATCCTTTCACTTTCAGGATCTTATATTTTATTTAAAACCCATGCAGAGTGTGAGATAGCAGCACATTGTAACTAATGGTGTTACAAAACAAAGCAACTGATCCACATGAGGAACACAGCAAAAATCACTCAGACAGACTCCAAAATGAATGCTTAAAGAAACTGCTGTAATTAAACGCCATTCCCTCCGAAGTTTAGTAGTTTATGGAACAATACCAGGTCAGCTGGGGAGAGAGAAATAGATTCCATGTATATGCAAGTAGGGAGATGATCTAAATCACAGTTAAGCTACTAAAATATATTAGAATTGATCTACTTTTTAATACATTAGATGTTTAGAATACTGCAGAATGATGAGGACGGCAGTTTAAATCATGGTCTCTATTTTTCAGAAGTTAACTTCCTGTCTGCCTCAGTGGGGAGTGTTAGAAGTATAAAGAGGATTAATTACAGAGGAGACATTTTCTCAGAATTCACAGTATACACTACTCTGTTATACTCACTACTCAGGATACACTAGCTGTGTCAGGTGTCTTTTAGGGAATGCTATATCTTGCCTCATGGACAATTAATCATGCTGTTGCATATACCAAGAACAGCACATAGATTATACACAGTTCTGTGTATGTGGGTCATTAGGTTTTATACCGCCATCCACCACTGTAGTATCTGAGCACCTGGATAGCAGAGGACAGGACTCAATGCTGGTCCCTTCCAGCCCTATGTACTTACATTTACCTTCCAGGCTTCCACGTAAAATCCATAGCAACAGCAAAGGCCCTAGTGGACTTCATGGAGTGTCCGGCACTTCTACCTTTTGGGGGTCAAAACTCTGCTTGAGGTAGAGCTTTTGGTTTTGATTTTTTCTTTTTTTAACATTTTATTATTTCTTTGATTGGTTGATAGGGGTTAAGGAAGGAATGTCAGTGTTTCACCAGTTTTCACTCACAAGCAGTTACTGATTTATCTGAGGATATGTGAACATTTAAAAGCCCATTGAAGCCAAAGGGAATTTTCCCATGGACTTCAATGCAGGCTTTGGGTTAGGCTCTTGATCCATAGAAAAATGTTTTCTTTTCTATCACCAATCATAGTGTCTCTCAGTCAAAATGTTGGAAACCCTCCCTCCCCACCCTCTAACTCCCACTACCACTCCCTCATCCCACAAAAATGCAATCTGGAAGAGAGAGAATACATTCTTATGAATTTGTCGTAGGTAAAAAATTGTTATTTTCACAGAAAATTAAGGGGGAGGGTAATCTGACAAGGCTTTTATGAGTACATGCATTAAATTAATTCATTTCTACCAATCACAACTTTACTTACAGATGCAACCAGCTGCAATTAACCTGACTGCTTCATATGGCGGCTCACAGGATGGAAAAATTGGTTGAACAATATAATTAGCAAATGTAATTGCTATTACAGCCTGAGTTGTTGGTTCAATAATTAGCAAGGAAGACCACAGTCTGATAAAGGCTGTGAATCCACCAAAAGCTTCCAGTATATAGGCATAGCTAGCTCCTGATTTAACAATGGATGTTCCAAGTTCAGCATAACACAAAGCTCCAAACAACGAAAAGATCCCACCAAGGGCCCAAATGAATAGTGAGAGCCCATAGGAGGCACTATACATCAAAACACCTTTGGGTGACACAAATATCCCAGAACCAATCATGTTCCCTACTATTAAAGAAACGCCATTAAGCAAAGTAATTTGTTGTTTCATCTTCATTTTTTCTTGCACATTTTCAGCTGCTGTGTCCGTTTCATGTACTCCATTCTTGGATGAGTTTTTTTTATTACAGCATATGATGCAGGAGCCTGACATTACCTGAAAATGTGTAATGAGAAAGAGACAGTTTTTTAATGCCTATCACATATGGTATTAACTGTGTGATTAACAGACTCCACCATCATGATCAGTACTGATTGATAGGGCCTTATTGGTTGGCTAATTTTAATTAAAAAACAAAATCTACCTTATTGGTAGGACTCCAACAATTACAACACTGTGAAATTTCAGATTCTGTCTCTCTTCCATCAGCAACACAGTGCCACTTCAATAATATATTTACTAGTTTTGCACAGCATAATCTGATAAAATGACCAGAGCTTTTGATTGCTATCAGAAAATGCAGAGCTCCTGGCTATTTTGAAAGTGCTCCCACCAAGATTTAATTACATATATACGTGTTATGCTGCTCAAGACTGTCAATGTCTATTGACTTGTAAGTTGACAAATATAGGTGGAGAGGGTTGCTTTGCCTATACCGAAGATGCCTAAACACTTTCTGTTATAAGATCCTATCTTCAGTTGCTTATAATTTTGTCAAACTTCAACCATTTGGGCTAAAATTTTCCATGTCAGGTGCCTGACTCACTCTGATTTCTGGAAAGTTTCAGCTAAAAAGTACAATTATTTCTGAGAATGAAATTAAGAAAACAAAAAACAAACAATTGTTTGGCCTGTGTTAAAATAAAATTGCCACCCTTAAATCTTTTACTGAGTGGCCAGAGAGGTTGAAGTGTTCTCCTACCCGTTTTTGAATGTTATGATTCCTGATGTCAGATTTGTGTCCATTTATTCTTTTGCATAGAGACTGTCCGGTTTGGCCAATGTACATGGCAGAGGATCATTGCTGGCACATGATGGCATATATCACATTGTAGATGTCCAGGTGAACGAGCCCCATGGAAAAGAAGCCCTTGAGGAACTCCACCATGATTTCAACAATTTGCATCTCACCATCAACCTCAGCCTGGACCAATCCACACAAGCGGTCCATTCCCTGGACACTACTGTGCTAATAAGCGATGGTCACATAAACACCACCCTATACAGGAAACCTACTGATGACTATATTTACCTACATGCCTCCAGCTTCCATCCAGGACACACCACACGATCCATTGTCTACTGCCAAGCTCTACGATACAACCACTTTTGCTCCAATCCCTCAGACAGAGACAAACACCTACAAGATCTCTATCAAGCATTCTTAAAACTACAATACCCACCTGCTGAAGTGAAAAAACAGATTGACAGAGCCAGAAGAGTATCCAGAAGTCACCTACTACAGGACAGGCCCAACAAAGAAAATAACAGAACGCCACTAGCCATCACCTTCAGCCCCCAACTAAAACCTCTCCAGAGCATCATCAAAGATTTACAACCTATCCTGAAAAATGATCCCTCACTCTCCCAGATCTTGGAAGACAGGCCAGTCCTTGCTTACAGACAGCCCCCCAACCTGAAGCAAATACTCTCCAACAACCACACATCACACAACAAAAACACTAACCCAGGAATCTATCCTTGCAACAAAGCCCAGTGCCAACTCTGTCCACATATTTATTTAAATGACACCATCATAGGACCTAATCACATTAGCTACGCCATCAGGGGCTCGTTCACCTGCAGATCTACCAGCGTGGTATATGCCATCATGTGCCAGCAATTATCCTCTGCCATGTACATTGGCCAAACCGGACAGTCTCTATGCAAAAGAATAAATGGATACAAATCTGACATCAGGAATCATAGCATTCAAAAACCGGTAGGAGAACACTTCAACCTCTCTGGCCACTCAGTAAAAGATTTAAGGGTGGCAATTTTGCAACAGAAAAGCTTCAAAAACAGACTCCAACGAGAAACTGCTGAGCTTGAATTAATATGCAAACTAGATACCATTAACTTGGGTTTGAATACAGACTGGGAGTGACTGGGTCATTACACATATTGAATCTATTTCCCCATGTTAAGTATCCTCACACCTTCTTGTCAACTGTCTAAATGGGCCATCTTGATTATCACTACAAAAGTTTTTTTCTCCTGCTGATAATAGCTCATCTTAACTAATTAGCTTCTCACAATTTGTATGGCTACTTCCAACTTATTTGTACGTATATAGATATAGATATAGATAGATAGATAGATCTTCTTACTTTATGTTCCATTCTATGCATCCGATGAAGTGGGCTGTAGCCCATGAAAGCTTATTCTCTAATAAATTTGTTCGTCTCTAAGGTGCCACAAGTACTCCTGTTCTTTTTGCAGATACAGACTAACACGGCTGCTACTCTGAAATCTGTAGTTTGTTTATGAGAAGGTTATGCGAGACAGTATCAAAAGCCTTACTAAAGTCAAGATATACCATATTTACTGCTTCCCTCCATCCACAAGGCTTGTTACCCTGTCAAAAAAAGCTATCAGTTTGGTTTGACACGATTTGTTCTTGACAATTCCATGCTGACTGTTATTTTTCACCTTATTATCTTCTTGGTGTTTGCAAATTGATTGCTTTATTATTTGCTCCATTATCTTTCCGGGTATAGAAGTTAAGCTGACTGGTCTGTAATTTCCTGGGTTGTCCTTATTTCCCTTTTTATAGTTGGGCACTATATTTGCCCTTTTCCAGTCTTCTGGAAGGTCTCCCATCTTCCATGAGTTTTCAAAGATAATTGCTAATGGCTCAGATATCTCATCAGTCAGCTCCTTGAGTTGAGTTGAGTAGCATGCATTTTATCAGGCCGTGGTGATTTGAAGATGTCTAACTTGTCTAAATAATTTTTGATTTGTTCTTTCCCTATTTTAGACTCTGATCTTATCAGATTTTCACTGGCATTCACTATGTTAGACATCCACTCGTCACCAACCTTCTTGGTGAAAACCGAAGCAAAGAAGTCATTAAGCACCTCTGCCATTTCCACATTTTCTGTTATTGTACCCCACCCCTTCATTGAGTAATGGGCCTACTCTGTCCTTGGTCTTCCTCTTGCTTCTAATGTATTTGTAGAATGTTTTCTTGTTTCCTTTTATGTCCCTAGCTAGTTTGATTTCATTTTGTGCCTTGACTTTTCTAATTTTGTCCCTACATATTTGTTTATATTCATCCTTTGTAATTTGACTGAGTTTCTACTTTTTGTAGGACTCTTTTTTTGAGTTTTAGATCACTGAAGATCTCCTGGTTAAGCCAGGGTGGTCTCTTGCCATACTTCCTATCTTTCCTACACAGTGGGATAGTTTACTCTTGTGCCCTTAATAATGTCTCTTTGAAAAACTGCCAACTGTCTTCAATTGTTTTTCCCCTTAGACTTGCTTCCCATGGGATTTTATCTACCAACTCCCTGAGTTTGCTGAAGTCTGCCTTCTTGAAATCCATTGTTTTTATTGTGCTGTTCTCCCTCCTTAGAATCGTGAACTCTACCATTTTATGATCACTTTCACCCAAGTTGCCTTCCACTTTCAAATTCTCAACCAGTTCTTCCCTATTTGTCAAATCTAGAACAGCCCCCCTAGTAGTTTTCTCCACCTTCTGAAACAAAAAATTGTCTCCAATATATTCCAAGAACTTGTTGGATAATCTGTGCCCTGTTGTGTTATTTTCCCAACAGATGTCTGGGCAGTTGAAATCCCCCATCACCACCAAGTCCTGAGCTTTGGATGATTTTGTTAGTTGTTTAAAAAAAAGCCTCATAATGTATATGCACAAGAGCATCAAATTGAGGTTGCACAGGCAACCTTAATTCTGGCATCTCCTAACATTTGAATGCTTGACTTTGCAAACTTAATGTTCTTTTACTGTAGCTTTTATGGATGTAATATTTTATATTAGGTGTATCAAGGGCTAAATACGCATTCCCTCACTGTCTTTACCCTTCTTGCTGTGCCTGGCCTAATTTGTTCCAGGACATTTCAGTTTGGGGTGGGCCAGTTTTCATCTTTGACCAGGTGTGAATGATTCCCCCTCATCTCTAAATGCTGGACACCCCAACGCTAGGGTTATCATCCTACTGACTCTCTCTACAGTGCAATCCAGGAGGTGGAATTCCATCTCCAGGAGAAATACCCATGCTAGCTTTGATTGAGCTAGCAATCTAAAAATAGCTATGTAGCCACAGCTGCATGGGTGGTGGAATGGACTAGCCTGAGTACAATCCCACCTGAAACCCTAGATATACACTTGGAGCGGTCCTCACATTTTTTTTTTAATGTATTAGCTTGATCACAACTAGTACAGCTGGGTGTACTGGATCTGGAAATTACACCTCCAACTCCAGGGTAGACATACCCATTGTTGTCTGAGCTAGCTCAATCCAAAGGTATGTCTACATGTGATGCAGTCACGCCTCTCTTTGTTGTGTAGATTTACCCTATATAACAATAAATTATAACTTGCATCATGGAGACATATTCAACAAGTGCCAAGTGATAAGTGATAAGCAATGCTCGGCCAGGGGTTTAAAAGGTGTGAACTTTTCAGCTAAGAGCTAATCATTCAGCCTGGAATTTTCAAAGGGCCTTGAAAGTTTGGTTCAATGGGAGTTACTAACTTAACTCCTTAGGGACCTTCGAAATCCCCAGCCTTTTATGCAGACAATACTAAATAAAGATTAAGATGCTGAGTACTTCCTATGAGATGTTGAGAACCCCCAGCTCCTATTGACTTTAGTGGAAATTGAGAGCACAAGCACCTTGGAAGGTCAGACCTTAATAAAGATGAAATACAGATGAAATGCATCGAACATGCATCAGTCTTATTCTTGTATTTTAGGCCATTTGGGGGAAAAATCTCTTACATGGGACGATCAGCTGCCCACCATCATGGAGTCCCAGATCAGAGACTTCTGCTATGTCATCATCACTGAATCCAGCGCCCATGAACTAGGCTGTAGAATCAAGGTAAACAAGGGCTTTCCAGTTTCACACATAAAGGGAGTGGTGTCAATGAAGACAAATGCCATTTAAAAAAGAAATCTATTTTCACATTTCCCCTGTGATTATCAGGAACAAATGCAAGTTTAAAAAGCTGTTTTAAGGACTATCATCCATCACATTCTGTCCTTAAAGTAAACAAACAGTAACAACATATTTACAGTAGAGGTAATGATTGAAAAAAATAGCAACGCATCTTTAAGGCACACACATTTAGATGAATACGCTTGGTTGGACGTGCAAAGAACAGATGAGCCGAAGGTCACCATTGTACCTTAGGAAATCCTGTTGTGTGGCTCAAGCTTCAGAAGACTGACACTGAGCATGAGGACAGGTTTCAGAGGAACAGCCGTGTTAGTCCGTATTCGCAAAAAGAAAAGGAGGACTTGTGGCACCTTAGAGACTAACCAATTTATTTGAGCATGAGCTTTCGTGAGTTACAGCTACAGCAGACTCTAAATAGAGCACTTATGGCATGATCATGCCACTGAACACATTCCAGTGCAAGAACGGGCCAGGCGAACAAAACAAGATTATGCATTGTGAAGAAGCAACAGCAATGAAAACACTTTGCTGTGAAGCAAAACTTTATCTTCTGTGAAGGGAATAAATAATTATTCAACAGAAACTTATCAGTCCCACAGATTGTTGTTCTTACTTTTATGTTTTTAAAAATATGCAGCAAAATAATACCTAGTGTTGGTCTGCTTGGTTACTGTGCTCAAAATGTTTGTGGGTTCCTATATTACAGACACACTCAGTCCCACAGTTTATCGTTACCACCATAAAGCATGTCATTACTGATGAAATAAAAGAAGAAGCTACTGTACTCCAAATTTAAGAGTGGTATTAAAAAGAGAAAGTAGAAGCTTACCAGTTGACACTGCTTCTTTTAGGAGAAAGGCTGCCGTAACTTAAGCAGCTGAACAGTGACCCTTTAACTTAAGCAGCTGGTTCACTAGGAATGGTAAGTGATATGAATATGAATATGCATAACCCTCTCTCTCTCTCTGTCTCCCAGAGGTTCAATTTAGCTTTGCTGTCAGCTGCTATTTTTAGTAGGAATATAAAAACCAACAGCAGCTACCAAAAAAGAGGATCTGAGGCTTCCGTGAAATCAAACAACCCAAGTGAACTGGAAGAGACAGTGCAAAAGTCAGAAGCCCTATTACAATATCTTAGAAAGGCATGTTTGTCTAGACCAATGGAAGTTTGTTTACTTATTTTAATGCATTTATCCACAGCCACTATTGAACTCAAAGATAGTGTCCCAGGTGACAAGTAAACATTTTCAAAACTAATGTAATCTCCCCATCACTGCAATGATCACAACATGAGCCACTTTGCTAACTAGCACAAGACAGCTGGTTAAATGAAAACAACAGATCTCACTTTACTCCAAGTACATTTATTTATATTTAGCTATCCTGTTACTTTTCTGATGCAGAAAAGTATCTCTGTAGTCCACCTAACAGTTTATAACAGTTATTCATTATTTGAAAAACATGCTGGTAATCTGTGTAAATCTTATTTCAATTGTATGTGCTTTTGTTTCAACTAAGATTTAAAAATAAGTAAAGCAAAGGAGGACTTACCAAGGTGCTTGAATTTGACTTCTGAAATTATATAGTACCCTCTTTATAAAGTGCTCTTGGAAAACAAAGGCCAGGATGAAGCAAGGTACAATATCAAGCCAAAGAGGGCAAACCAGGAAATAATCTCTGGAGAGCAGAAAAATAAGTTAATGAATGCAAGAACACTAATTTAGCATCCTTGTTTTCCATGATGTGCAATGAAATGAAATAAGAGGCCAGTGTGAGTAAAAGAGTTTACGCTCAGAAATCAAAAGGTGAGTCGAAAGAGCTGATCAAGCAGGTCAAGAGTCTTTGGCCACTGGACTGTGTCAAGACATCTGACAATGGGACTTAATAGGAAAGCAACTAGTCAAAAAGATAAAAATATGTTTAATTAATATGGATGTTTTCCCATTCCTCCACTGATCCCAGACCCAAGGAAAGCAAGTTGCAACATAGTATTAAAATGTCACTGTACAACGTTAGCTGGCTGCATCTCTTTAGAGTTACACAAATCTGTGATTAGGTAAATTATAACATATCAAGAGGCTTCTTGGCAACAAAATTGTTCTGAAGGCATGTTACTCTGTTTGAAAGTACGATAGGTCCTGCCTTGCACGCCTCAATCAGGCAAAACTCTTGTTATATTTACGGTATGCCTATACTGCAATTAAACACCTGCAACTGGCCCATGTCAGCTGGCTCCGGCTGTGGGGCTGTAAAATTGCAGTGTAGCCCTTTGGGCTCAGGCTGGAGCCTGAACTCTGGTACCCTGCAATGGGGAAGAACCCCAGAGCCTGGACTCCAGACAGACCCTTATGGTCACTTAAAGACCTTTCCATGCTGCTGCACTCCATAGTACAAGTGTAAATGGGCCTAAGTGTAACTGAGAAACAGGCCCCCTGTTCTTGATTTAAAGAACAATTAACTATTCTTATTATTTTTTTTTAAATTGCACCTAATTTCCACTTTGAATTTGTCTAACTTTAGCTTGCAGCCCCTGGATCTTGTTATGCCTCTGTCTGCTAGGTTAAAGAGCCCTCTATTATCAGATTCTTATTCCTGTGTAGGTACTTTTTGCATATTTAGCTGGAAAATATTAATTGCTCATACTATTCCATGAGCCAAATATCAATACCATGAGCCAAATTCTGCCTTCCATTTTGACTCAGTAAAAATGTCTTTTATATTACTGTTAGAACATTCCAGCTCAAACAGTAGTCAAAATTTCACAAATATCTACAAGGAAAAGTGCTTAGGTCAACATGGAGAGAAAATAAAATCAAACAATAAAGAATGTAAGACAAGACTATTTCCCTTGTATTTGCAACCAGCAATAATCCAGCAAGTTCAGTCAGACACACAGCTGATGATCATACTAATATCATAGGGGTTTGTGATGCTGCACGATCTCAAAATCTTAAGCAATTGTTCACAGTTTGCCAAGGAACAAGAATCCATTTATAATTCATTTGAAAAAAGGGGGAGAGGATTTATTTTACATTATACTGTGCTGGCTTTGTTACATGAGCAATATTTTTTTAAATGTTACATTTTCAAGACAGCTGTGACTCACGAACCTCTTTGTGCCAACTGGCAGAGAGCACAGAGGTGCATAGCATTTTACAGGAATTCCTTGGACTGGATGTATGCATAATAATTCACTAAAGGATGAGGTCGCTACCTAGAGCCAGTATCCCATCATAATTACTGCAAAAATACATGTACATATAATATTTAAGAAGTTACATGTTTATACTGAAAATTATATCCTTAAGGCAAGTAACCAGAAGGTGACGTATCTTGGACAGGTTCCTTTCAAGCAGGAGGTAATAGAAGTTTATTGCTCTGTCTGATCATGGGGGCATCGGGCATTGTCTGACTCAGCAGATGCCTGTTTGCACAGTGAGCCAAATACTAATAAAGTGTTTGTGAAATCTTCAAAAGAGGACATTTACAGGAAGAAATGAACAGCCGGAGGGGATCCTGCCTTTAGAGTAAAAACGATGGATCGTTGGGGTATATCTGGGGTCCTGTTTAAAGACAATGGATTTTTGGGGTATATCTGGGGGCTCACGTCCCCCCCCCCACCCAGCTCCTTCACTGAGGAGGCCTTCCAAGGGAAGCAGTGGGGGCAAAAGACCTATCTGGCTTTAAGATTAAACTCGATAAGTTTATGGAGGAGATGATATGATGGGATAACATAATTTTGGTAATTAATTGATCTTTAAATATTCATGGTAAATAGGCCCAATGGCCTGTGATGGGATGGGATCGGAGTTGCTACAGAAAATTCTTTCCTGGGTATCTGGGTGGTGAATCTTGCCCATATGTTCAGGGTTTAGCTGATCGCCATATTTGGGGTAGGGAAGGAATTTTCCTCCAGGGCAGATTGGAAGAAGCCCTGGAGGTTTTTCGCCTTCCTCTGTAGCATGGGGCACGGGTCACTTGCTGGAGGATTCTCTGCTCCTTGAAGTCTTTAAACCACAATTTGAGGACTTCAATAGCTCAGACATAGGTGAGAGGTTTTTCGCAGGAGTGGGTGGATGAGATTCTGTGGCTTGTGTTGTGCAGGTCAGACTAGATGATCATAATGGTCCCTTCTGACCTTAGTATCTATGAATCTGTCTTATGAATGGAGGGTCACTGCCTGGCTGTCAAACGTTGGAGGGACTTTGGGTGAGCATTGCTCTACTAAAATATGAAAGCATCAAGTTAAATAAGTCTAGGTTCTAGAATGCATCTTATGATTTTATATGTAATTATTTGTTTACAATATTTTTACTTGCCATTACTTGAATATCTGTACTTTAAGGAAACTTTCACTTGTTTCACTATAAACATATCTAAGTGCTATGTGTTAAGTGGAGCAGTGATCTGAGGTTTGTGACAAAGCTCTGTCCTTGCCTCTGTGGGTCCCGCGTTTCCTGGCAGATTTCACTAACTTCAGAGGCTCACTGTGATCTTCTACGTAACCCTTCTCTCTCTAGAGACAAGGGTCACAGTCTACTGAGCCATTTTCATCATAAGCGAGGGAGGTGAGGAGAAGCTATCCTTCCTTGCACAGTCTCTGTTGTCTCCCAGTCTCAGTGATTAATCAGGGGGCAAAGGGGTGGGAGCCCAGGCCTACCCTCTACTCCGGGCTCCAGCCCAGGGACCCTAATAGTATCAGCTATGGTAGCTGACCATTTAAAAGCATGACATGTACAATTCCCTGGGCTACTTCCCCCACAGCAGCCCTCACTTCCTCAAGCTCCACTTCACCCTTACCTCAGGGCCTCCTTTTTTGTGCCTGATATGGTGTGTACTACTCAGTCTCTCCAACAGCACAACTTCCTCCCACAGTTCCTGACATGCACACCCACCTGACTAACTGGGAGGCTTTTAACTAGTTTCAGCCAGCCCCTGATTGACTTCAGGTGTCCCAATCAACCTAGTATTCGCCCTTCCTTCTGGAAAGTTCTTAATTGGCCCCAGGTGTCTTAATTGACCTGGAGCATCTGCCATTTCACTTATCCTGGTACCAGGGATTTGTTTAGCCTGGAGCTAATATATCTATCTCCCACTACTTTCCTATAGCCATCTGGCCTTGCCCCATCACAGGTGTAACTGGTAAGCTGGGAAGTACGGCTTCTTTGGCAGCAGTGAATCTGCAAATACAGTGGCCTTCAGGGAGATGATTGGAGGACTTGGGCGTTGGAGCGTGCCTATTGCTAACTTGTAGACCCCCCGCCCCTTCACCGTGAGCCGGCTACACAAGCTGCAGCCGGTCCGTTTTCAGACCGCGCCAAGGAAACATCTATATATGCTTGTGCTCCACACCCTTCACATCCTCACCCTCGCATCCCGCCCTGACACAAAGTGGCGGGACCTCCTGCCACCTCTAGAGGGTGAGGAGCCCCGATGGGCTGGCCTATATTCCACCTTGGCTCCGAGGCCCTCTGGGGATATCAGTTGGTGGCTCCTTCACGGGGCCGTGAGCATGGGCATGTACTTGGCGCTGTTCACCCCAATCCTGGACACTTGCCCCTTCTGCAGCATGAGGGAAACCCTGGCGCTCATCTACCTGGAGTGTGCCAGGCTGCAGCCCCTACTCTGGCTCCTCACGAATATTTTGTTAAGATTTTGGTTGCACTTTTCCCCTCACCTCTTTATCTATGCACTCCCTGTCCGTGGCCCCACTAAGTCGCGGGACCTCCTGGTCAACCTCCTCCTGGCCCTGGCTAAAGTGGCCATCTATAAAACCAGGGTGAGGAGGTTGGCCGATGGAGTCTCCTGTGACTGTGGGGCCTATTTCCGATCCTCCGTCCATTCACGCCTCCAGGCAAGGTTCCTCTGGGGGGCGTCCACTGACTCCCTTGACGCCTTTGAGGAGCAGTGGGCGCTGTCCGGGGTTCTCTGCTCAGTGTCCCCGTCCGGTTCCCTTCGTTTGACCCTTTGACCGCACTCCTGTCCCTGTTATTCATTAGTTGTCCCACGTAATTATTTGGCTTTCCAGGTCCTGTGGACCTCCCCTTAGGCTGGGGGGGGGGGATCCTTTAGCAGTGGGCGGGCTTTGCCCGCCCACTTCCTGGATCCCAATATGACTAACTTGTAGAGAGGGCGGGACCTGTATAGGCCTAGATGGGAGTGCTTGGGCTGCCTGTGGCCAGTGGTGTTGGGGAGCCAACCCCTGGCAGGCACAGACACGGCTTCCTCTGAGGGCAGGTGGTAATGAGTGCCTCAAAGCCCTGGATACCCCAGGAAGCATTGCAACAGCATCTTAAAATATGTCTACCCTGGTGGCAGCGTATAGAGTACAGGCACTGCTCACCCAGCTAGCATGGGTACACGCAGCAGGGTAGACAGTGAAGCACAGCTTGAGTAGAGTAGAACAGAGTGCCCTACATGTCTGACTGCCCAGGCTATGGCTCTCTACAGCCCAAGCAGTAGCTCCCAGGTAAACAGTACTATTTTTAGCCGCGCAGCATCAGGCTGTCTCCCCACTAACCAAGCCTTTCTCTGCTGCAGGTAAAGGCCCAAGCAGGAGGTGAGGTAGCGAGGAAAGACTCCGGCACCATGGAGCTGCTGGAGTCTTTCACTGCCACATGTAGCCACACCCCGTAGTGACAAGTGAGCATGCAGCCTGCTTTACACTGCAGCATGTAGCCATGTACCTGTACTTTACCCCCCAGCATAAGTGTGGCATAGCCTAATGGTCTCTTATTTTCAAGATGCTGAGCAATAGGTGATGCCAACTGAGAGCTCCTGTGCGTCTCTGAGGACACCCCCTCATGTGTCACGTCTTGGGCTTTTACCTCTCCTGGAGCGGGGTTCACAATCCTGCCACTCTCCACACAGCCCCTGGGCAATAATCATGCTTACCTAGTGGGTCCAACTGAGTTCAGCATCTGCAATTCTTCCCTTTGGGAGTTTGTGACCAGTAGTATCCAGTGACAAAACAGCCTTCTTCAAACCAAAGTATTGTTTATTTTCACAGTAGGAAAAAAACATTTAGAGAAAAAAGGACTTCCACACCAGAGTTTACATGTCTATCTTACCCAAAGACTTACCATTCCTTAATGATACCCTAGACAGGCCAGACTTCTTCAGACCCCCCACAATGAGTGCCTGTATCTCAGACTTATTCCTCCTAACAACTGCCCTAACCTCGAGAGGGGTTTCTTTTTAAACTTGACAGTTCTCTGCCTACGCTTTTTCCTATCCTGACATTGTCTCTTAACAATCCTCAAGTGTCTGTGGAGAAGTGGCTTATCTTGAGCCATGCTTTTCCCCTTCCCGCTTGTTTTTCCTTATAGGCCCCTATTAAACCAAATCAATATACTCATACAATAAACATACCAATAACCAGGTCAACATACCGAATTCATAATTTTTTTTTTTTTACAGAGCAGCTCTAATTCCATCACAGCTCTGGCTTTGGTTTATGAGAAAAATCTATTTTACAAACCTCAATTAAAATGATCATTTGCAGAGTTTATGGCAGTACTACCCTTGTTCTGGATGCTTTCCAAACTCCTAGGAGCTTTCCTCACAGCCCTCTGTCCTCTTTGTTGTCCTTGAGGCTGACAAATGCTCACCTGAAGAGCTGGTCTTGGTGTTTAATTATTTTTTAGGACCTTTATATTCTAGACAACAGAATCCCATTTGCACAGGGCCAGGCCTGGGATTTTGGGAGCATCAGGAAGATGGTTATTTGGATTCCTATTTGGATGGTTAACTGGATTACCAGTTATTTCATCACTGCACAGCTGACTACATGCCCCAAAACTCTTTGCATATTCAATTTTCAGTCAAGAACTGGAAATTTTGTATTGGTTACTTTTGATGACTCATTAGTTACCAGCCTTCTCATGAAAAGAAGCTGACATTTGAAAGAACAGGTCAGCAGCAATAAATGAGTACCTACTTCCCAGTTTGGTACACTCAGGCTGTTCCAGTATAACTTCACAGTAGGACAAGAGCTGTACCTGAAACTTCTCCTGTCCATGCGTCACATAGTATATCAGACTTCTGATTACAAGATCATAGACTCCTAGCTACTCTGTGCAATTCATTTCCTTTTATGCATTAAAATATATAGTTAAGAATTAAAAGGGTGAAAAAAGTTACAAAGTTTGCAAGTGGCACACTAGTTTACTTTGGTTCTAGAAATGCCCTAGGGTGAAGTTCTTGTCTGTCACAGGGGCCAGGACTAGTTCCTTTGTCAGGAAATGTGCCCAGCAGGGTTTTTAAGACTCTTCCCCATTTATTCCCTTTCAGCAAAACCCATGAACAAGATGAATGTAGATCCACAGACCCACACAAGTAGAATCTGCCATAAATGGGTAGTTATAAATTAAATTCTTTTCCTCTCCCCCAAATATGAACGTCATCCATATTTTCACAGTGTTATATGTATATATAGTATTATATACTTATATAGTATTGTAAAAGGTACATTAAGGTACTTCTGTATTAATGTGCCACAAGAGAACACAATCCCATAAGCAGATCCTGTTTTTACCATTTATTTAGCAATGCCCATTCATGGAATTTATTTTATAAAAATCAAGACATCCTGCATCATTTCAGAGGACAAGACTGAGACCCAGAGGTAAAACCATTAACGAATGAATGGGAAGGAGCCGGGGATGGAAAAATGGAAGCAATATCCAGGCATGCAGGTGACACCTAGGGTTACAATATTTCTTTTCTCACTTTACTGTTCCAGTCCACTTTGAATTTACTCATTATCATTTAGCACTGTCCTCAACTTGCTCTTGAATTTGAAAGCAATATATCCGGTACAGTCAATTACTGATTTTTCTAGATATTTGGCACTGCTCATCTCTGTGTCTGAAGTGCTGCTGGGTCCCTATCACAATTTTATAGTATAGGACAGGGGTCGGCAGTCTTTCAGAAGTGGTGTGCCAAGTCTTCATTTTTTCACTCTAATTTAAGGTTTCGCGTGCCAGTAATACATTTTAAAGTTTTTAGAAGGTCTCTTTCTATAAGTCTGTAATATATAACTAAACTATTATTGTATGTAAAGTAAATAAGGTTTTTAAAATGTTTAAGAGGCTTCATTTAAAATTAAATTAAAATGCAGAGCCCCCCAGACCGGTGGCCAGGACCCAGGCAGTGAGAGTGCCACTGAAAATCCGCTCACGTGCCGCCTTTGGCATGCGTGCCATAGGTTGCCTACCCCTGGTATAGGATGAACCTAAAAAAAGAGGATTTGCAATTATTTATTGGTACAACTGTCTTGCATTTAAAAAAAAGCACATTGCATGGACATTATGTACGTCTGGCATCACTAGGCAAGACTGGCAGAGCTCACTATGGCCGTATTCCACGAGGTCATCTTCAAATCTATTCTATAAAAAGCATGCACATGGGAGCTTGGCATTGTCCTGTGATGTGCTGTCTGCGCGCCAGTTAGAACTTTTACATTGGTAACAAGTTTTAATATCTGCACAGAAACAGGGTTGAAATGCAAAATTCCAATTTACTGCAAAAATGTGAATTTACCTAGTAAAGTCTGCAAAAGCTTACAGTAAATTATGCATCACATTCTAGTGACTGAGTTCACAAAACAAGTTAAGACAGATACTAAAATATCACTGCAATGTTTAAACACATAGGCAAGCAGTGATGTGCAATTTAAACCTTGAACTAGTTTGAAATGGATCAGTCCCTGGCTCATCCTCCAAGATTTTCAAATATCAATAATTTGGATTCTTAATTGATTTGGCTTTTATGACAAGGGCAGGAAACTACTCATGCTACTTGTAACCCTCGTGGATGGGGAGGTGGGATTTTCAATTGCAAAATTCTTATTAGTGCCAATGGCATTCAGTGCACAGCATAACTGAACTCAACTTCTTACTGCTGTAAAATGTAGATGGTGTGTATATGCTGCACCCAAGAAAATTAAAAAGCTATAAATTGGATTTATAACTGTTCACTGTATTAAATGTGCTAAAGAGAATTAAAACAAAAATCAGATTCCTCCTGTCAGACTGGCCACACTCCCTCAACAATGGCCTTCCCTCAGACAAGAAAGGCAGAACATCAAGGGTGTTGTTTGAGGGGAAATGGGGGTAAGAAGGGGCATTGCCCGCCAAACTGAAAGCCTCAAGCAGGCACAGAATCCCCCCCCGCCACCCGCACGGCCCCATTGGCCTGACTGGAGCTGCCCTCTCAGCTACAGAAGTGCTGAACGCCACTGTTTTCAGTGCTGATATTTACTCTGTCCAAAGGGGATTGCTACAGATCAGCACACCACACTTTTCCTCCAGGAAGTAAGGACATTAGCTCTCTCAGTGCTTGCGTGTCAAAGGAGGTCATGTGTGTTTTTTGTGTTACTGCTAACTCACCTGGGCAGCATATACTTGATCTTTATACACCACATAAAATCAGTGCTTACTGCAGGTTATGTAGACATTAAAAATGAATTGGAATTAGAAGCTTGATGGATCAAATGCAACATTTTACATTTCAGATGTGATTGTGTATCAAGCTTGTGGAGGTAAGAGATGAGTTAGACAGCAATGTTGTACCAGATCACATGCTGGTCTGTGGATCCCGTCACACTCCCTTTGACTGAAATGGGAGCAGGTGCAGTTCTTGTATCATTACATTTACCACTACTAGCTACTTGAGTGGAGAGGCAAAATTAAAATCTAAATACAGGCATATGGCATGTTCTTTAGGAAGGAACAAATCTACCCAGAAGGGTAATGTGAAAATAGCTTACAACAGAAATAAACATTGGCACAACTCTACAGGTTTTGTTGTAGGGTTTTTCCTTTTATACCAATCCTACCATGACAGTGAGTAAGCAGCATCCCCATCATTTTAAGACAGTTACAACTTAAAGGATATTTATAAATGGAATAATTATGATTATTTAAAATAGAAAATAGGGAACATTTTCTCTTTTTATGTATAAACAAAATACTTAAATACACTCTAATGAAGTATTTGACTTTCCAGTTGCTCTTCAAAATGACTAGTTTTAACCTTACAATGTAACCTTAGTTACATCTAATTCTTTGGCTTACCAGCCTTATATAAGTGCAATAAAGACCAAAGCAATAAAGATATAAAGTAACCTTTCAGAAACAGGAACCTACTAGTAAGGAAACATTTACATGGCTTTATATTGATATGATAAATTTAAAGATGCAGTCTTAGAAGCAGATGACATATCTGGGTAAGGCTGAAGGCCCATCTGTTTATTGTCTTTCAACTTTTGTATTATAACTTTAGCAAACTCCTCTCCTTGGCTGTCAGTAGTATCAAGCAATTGTCGGACTTTTGATGTCCTTGTAGGTTTGGTGCTGATAAGTTCATAGTCTTCTTTCATGATTAAATCCCTTGATAGGAGGGCATCCAGAGACTGGTTCAGACATGCTTCAGTCATCTGGCTGACAATGTCCTCTCTCCTAATTTGGATCCACTGGTGAGCTACATCCTGTTGTATGGATTCCACAGCAAAATCTAGAATCGAAGAAAGATTAAAAAATCTAGTATCATAGTTAAAGCGAATTTATAGTGCTATAAAATGAAGAGTGAGTTGAGAAAGAATGGTCCAAAACCATACCTGTAGTTAAAATGACAGCCTCGTAACACTCTGCCAAAATGTTGCTACATTAATCCAGATTAAAACTCTGTTAACTGTACTAACTATTATTTAAAATATTTCTCTTTAGTTATTCTAATGCTGGGTCTTTATTTCTTAGGGGAAATAAAAGTTACAAATACAGCTGCTCTCCCTAAAATGCCACCATTATTCTGAAACAAACTCAATCCTTTCAACCATCCCCACCATCAATGCTTCCGTCCCACACAAACCCACCTCCTTCGGAAACAGCTGCAGGCATGGATCACAAGCTGTGATGATGCTTTTTTTCCCTATTAAAACAATGTCATTCCTCTCACCTTTTCTGGCTTGCCCTCTTATCCCCTTCTTATGTTTCTTATACTCAAAGTTGGCTTTGCTTACAATTAACACGGCTATATTAGGATCAAAACTACCACACTACAGACAGAAGAATAATATTTGGTTAAGGCACTGGACTGGGATTCAAGACCAGCGTTCAAACTCAAGCTCTGCCACAGACTTCCTGTGTAATCTTGGGCAAGACACAATTTCTCAGTGCCTCAATTCCTCATTTGCAGAATAGAAATATAACATTTCCTTTCTCCTACCCTATGTCTGTAGGAGAAAGACAGGATTAGTTATACCTTGACCATCCCTGGTAAGTGTTTGTAATTGTACCATTCTGCATCGTAATACCTCTTTAACGAATACCACACCGAAGCAGAACCATCATACACACCACAGTCACACTGTATGTGCAATATTCCTTACCCTAAACTGTAAATTCTTCAGAGCACTATTGCCTACATATTGGTGTTTTGTATTGCTTTGTTAGTGCTTAGTAAATAAAAATAGGCCTAGTCTTCCCTTCAGACACACACACAAATTGGTAGTTGCACATATATCAAGATTGTGAATAAACCTAACAGCAGGCATCTCAATGACCATTCATTGTTTCCCTGTGATGTTATTGGGACTTAAAACTCCATCAGTTTGTGTTGTACCTGAAGTAAGTGCTGATGACTGCAGCATGTGTGTCATAGGATTTGATGCATCTGAATGATCTGCACCAAATGAGGAAGGGTAGCTGTGGTAGGGCACATACAATTTAGCACTCTGGGTTGGAGAGATATTTTCATCCATGCTAACAAGAGAGCATGGTCCTTCAGAACTGTTGTCTTTACCTTAAATAAAAGATGAAGAATCACATTACTTTCGGGTTCAGGAAAGAAACAAAAACATGTTAGAAATTATTTACAGCACCTTTACAAAAAAGTTGTTAGTTGCATGCCTTTCATGTCTGCTCTGTACAAACAACATGCAGATTTCTCATGAAGGTGAGGTTCACAGCACTTTTACATTTTTTCTTATTTTCTGTCAGCTTTGGAGGATTTTTTATTTATTTATTTATTTATTGGCAAAACATGGTTGAGAAAACCAGGTTTGGTCTGTTCCAACTTTAAAAAGTCTTAAGCAAAAGAAAATTCCAAAGTGGCAGGACCAACCAGAGCTCTGACTTCCAACTTTCATGTTGTCAATTATTTCTTATCAGATTTATTTTAGTGCCTTTTATTTATTTTAGCACAACAAATGTGAAGGGGCTAAATCTTCCTAAAAGAGACTCAAGTAGAACGGAAGCATCTCGAAGACTAATAGTGATCTTTATTGGAAGTCCAATGGAAAATGCTGCTTTCTTATCTGTTCTATTAGCTATCTCTTGTGAGAATTCCCTATAGCTTTAATAAAAATTTCAAATGAAATCTTCTTATGTGGCAATAGAGGTTTGAATACTAACTATGTCTAACTTAATTCATGGATAGACAATTCATTCAACTGCAGAACTGACTGAATAGAAGAACAAATGACATTGTGAAAGAGATGCAGCAGTATGGTAATAGATTTACCTTGATACAGGGCCTGATAGACAATAAAATCATAGAATTTATATGGACACATTAACAGTGTAAGCCTAAAACTGTATGTCACTTAAAAGACCCTTTTGGCCAAGTTTGTACCCAGACACATTTTGACAAAACCCAAAACAACAGATATGTTTCCATTTTTTAACAAAAGTGTAATTTCAAAAAGAAACAGTCTTAACACAAACATTGCCTGCAGTGTTTGTATTTTATTATTTGTATAATAATATACACAGTGCCTAGGAACTCTAGTTATGGACCAGGGTCCCCTTTTGCTAGGCACTGTACAAACAGAACAAAACCCAAATATTTGCAACATTGTGCCAGTGCATGAAAACCTGAGAGTTGAAATTGATCATATACAAAAGGTTAAAACACAGTCTGTATTGATTACTCAATCAGGGGAAAGCAGTAAAATAGCTGCATGTTTTATGTGCAACACTTAAAAAAAACAAAAACAAAAACCACATTGGCAGAATTACTTGCTCATGGCAGCCAAGGACTAACATCATCTTTCTGCTGTGCTTCCTAAAATAGATCAGCTAACATTTAAGGGCAGCTGGTGGAAGTCAATTTTTATTTTTGATGTGTTTATAAAGTATATTTGATTGTCTCCCCACCACGTTTCTTGTCTTCGTAGATTGTCAGATTTTCAGGCCTGACACTGTTCCTACTTCTATGTTTGCCTGGTACCTAACACAATCCGACTCTGATCCAGACCAGTGCCTCTGGGTACCAACAGAATAAATAATAATTGTTCAAAACTATCTTCTGTGACTTTTCACAAAGAAAGGATCAGAGCCACTTGGAAGACTTCATACACACCCCATAGAGAACACAGTCAGCTGTGTGACAGAGAACAGAGCCAGAAGAATCATTACTGGCATTTAATCTTCATGGCTAGATAAATATCATTGGCCAATGTAAACAGCAGAGCTTCCGTCCTATAGATGGAAGCTTGAAGTCTGACAGAAGACTCCACATACCATCACCAATGAACATTCCCCTCAGTGGGAGATTCTATACATGGTAGTACATAGTCAATGTCAAGAGGTTTTGAGACTCACCAGTGTCTTATCCAGTCACATTCATACCCATCCTTCATACTCAGCCTAATTTTCCCATGTCAGTTTCACCACATACTTCTAGCTAAACTACTTTGTATCACTCTAAACAATCCTTCTCCATCTCTTTTGTTTCTACTCTGAAAGTATTCATAAATGGACTGTCGTGGCTCAGTATGGCCAGTGACCTAGCAGCTATTCCTCACCCTTGCCCATGATCCGGCCACGTAGAGGGCAATTAGTTGTCCCTATGGGGTGTCATGGAGTTAGAGTGATTTACTCCAGCAACAGAGGACTACTTAAATAGAGCAGGGAATCTCAGTGTAGGGTGAGTACTCCTGTACAAATGTAGTACCACAAATAGAGAATAAAGCTGCAGTTCAATAATAACTAAGTATCGTGAATCAATACTGTGCAGCAAGGTTACATACCTGTTGAGAGGATATTATACTTTGGTATAGACTTGAGTCTTGATAATTCAGGTGACATGCTCTGGAGTGGGAGTACATGACTTTGTAGGAAGGGAGCACACGTTTCCTGAAATGAATTCAGTTATATAGTGAAGATGTACATTTTTGGAATGGTTTAGTAATTTCTAAAGTTCTTTCCTTTTGTTGTCTTTTCCTTGTTACTAAGATGCTCAAGTTACTTCACAATTAAAATAAGACAGACATTAAAAAGTTAAAAACCAAATGAAAATGTTCTTCCACCATCTGACCAAGATTTTATGTGCTATTTTAATTATTAGTAGAGAGAATGAAAAGCAGCAGCACTAAGGGACACAGTAATTAAAAAAAAAAAAAAATCCACAGTACTTTCCATAAGCAACATCAGTGGGAGTGGGGGATGAAATCCTCTCTTCCAACCCCGAAAGCACCCATTGTGTGGCAAACAACAGTCTGTTGCAGCATTTGTGGTCTGCTACACTCTCTGTACAGGTATGTGTGTGCTCCCTGTATTCAGTAGATAATATGGTCATGTCATCCAGCTCATGTGGGCCACCCACAACTAACTCCATCCATACTTTTATGCAAATGCTGAAAAGCACTGCACTCTGATGTGCAGAAGATAGAAACAGACTTCCCTGCTGCTGTGTGCCCCACTGCTAGTTCCATTGCATTCATGGCTGTGCAACTGCAGAAGAGGAGCGGGAGAAAAGTTTTCCCCATCCTGAACTAAAAACTGTTTCAAAATGTTTTAGTTATCCCAACACATTTGGAAAAGAACTTGAATTCAAAATTAAAAAGAAAAAGATTTACCTCCTGTGGACTAAGATTCAGAGGTATATTTACAGATGTCAGCTCCACATCGGATGTCTTGTGACTGACGCGAATACACTGTGACTCATATCGTGACTGAAAAAACATTGGTATTCTTATTAGTTGTGCATTATAAATCTACCAGGCCAGGACAGTAGGGACTTAATTCTTAGGTTAGTTACACTGTGACAAGCACAAGTTGCCATTTCAGTGTATTTTCATATTACATTCATATTGTAATAAAAGCTATTTACCTTATCTCTCTTCAAGAGCATTACGGCTTCAAGCATAGATATCTCATCAAATGTTCTCAGCACTGGTTCAAGATCTATTAAGCATTCTAAATAAGAAAAGAATACTCAGTTAAACATTAACTTTTAATAACAGTAATTACAATTTTTAAGTTGTTTGAGCTACTTATCTTGCAATTATGAAAATATTGCTTCCACCAACACACAGTAATTAGAGAATTTAGGCTGCTAAAGAAACACTTCTTGCAATCATTAAAAAAAACAAAACAAAACATCAATCTATTAAAAACAATTTTCAGTGTGGCCTAGAGGATTGGCAGCACCAACACTGAATGCTCTATCAAGGGAGACCTGACTCGGAGAGAGACTAAGAGTCTTGGGATCCCTGGGATGTGGAGATCACACCCTTAAAAACAAGACATAGTTCTAGCGTGGAGCGTTCATCCCAGGGCATAATTTACTAGCTGGGCCATGAAGCAGCACTGGCCTTGGAGAAGAATGCTGCCTCCCCACTCCACTGGAGAAACAACTCTATCCTTAGACCACCACTGAGAAGTCTAGAATGAAATCAGCAGTACCCAAAATAAGTTAGGAGATCCTATGAAGGGAGACCCTATGAACAATAATATAGGGAGTGGGTGAGGTGCAAGAAGGAAGAAACAATGATCAGATTCTAAAGGGTGAAAGTTTTAGGGTTGGCACATCACCCATAACAAAATGCTGATTCTTTCCCCACCGTTACCTTTTCTTTCCCCTATGCAGAGATTGGTGGCTCTGAAGCCAGACCAGAAAGGAATGTAACATAATGAATGTAACGTCCCACCACATCCAACATATCCATCTGCTATTTTTCTCATGCTCATTAAAAAGTGGTAGATTGACATCCCTAGGAGATTAATGCCACCTATTTATCTAGTGATTTTGTGTCATTTTAATAATTAAATGGCAGGAAGTTCAACTACTCCATCCCAGCATGTGTGTGTTGATGTAAGGCTTACGTAACTTATTTTTAAAATTTCTGGATGACTGTTACTTGTAGAAATGTCTAATTTAAGTTGAGCTCGGCTACAAAAAGCAAACAGAAGGGCTTGAGAAACCCCACAACTTCTACAACCATCTTACAATATACTGCATAATTTTGTTAAAAGGGAACTATTAAATACTTGGAACCAGATCCTCAACTGGCATGACTAAGCAAAACCTAACTGACACTGCTGTGCTGATTTACACTGATAATCTAGCTCTTTGTCTTTTCTAATTTAGTCTCTATTTTTTTGGTGATACTTGTTGAAAGCTTACAACCAATTTTCCCCTCTAATTATTATGTCTTTTACTTCCCCCCTGGCTTTTCTAATGGAGACCAAATTTACATTTAAAAAAAAAATATTTCCTTCTTTGAGCAATGGCATTCTCAAGAATAATGTTCTGTAGTTGACTGCTTCTGAACAGTCGCCAGAGGGAGTAAAACATCATGAAGTGCCTCTCTGGTATAAGGCCAACATAATGTAAACAGGTTTCAGAGGAACAGCCGTGTTAGTCTGTATTCGCAAAAAGAAAAGGAGTACTTGTGGCACCTTAGAGACTAACCAATTTATTTGAGCATGAGTTTTCGTGAGCTGTGGCTCACGAAAACTCATGCTCAAATAAATTGGTTAGTCTCTAAGGTGCCACAAGTACTCCTTTTCTTATAATGTAAACAGTAGCTGGTTTAAAACAAAACAACCCTTCACCTCCTTTGCAATAGTGTGGTGAACTCTCTAATCTAGAACAACAAAGATATTTAGAATTTGGAGATATTCCTTATCAAAAGCTTCAAGGTGGGTCAAATTTTGAGTTTAAACTACTGTATCCCTTCAGGGCAGGTATTCATGATATAACATGTCAAAACTCAGAGTCCATTTGACAGCATATAATTATCAATATTTCAAAACAATTATAGAACAATCAATAGAGAAAAATATTTTACAGAAAACTTGCAAAATGATCCATAGAACCATTTAAAAGTTAAAATAAGGAAGATAAGAAGCTATTTCTGATCATGCACACTGTGTTTTAAGGCAGGAATTTGTAGAAACAAAGAGATATGATATTTGATGCACACACAATTCCTATGAACAATAGTGAGCATTACAAGGATGCACTAAGAGGAAAACATATTGAGTGAACAAAAAATACATCCCCACATATTATCGACAGATTATGAGCAAAATTGCTTCTCAATTTTCTCTTTCAAACTGAAAAGCACTTTCCAGAAACCGAGCAAGATACTCTAAAAATGGTGAGGATGCAGTCAGAGAAAAGGTAACCAATTATCTAGGCATCACTAATTCTCCAAATTTACTATCAATGAGTATGACAGAAATATAAAGAGGAAGCAAAAAAGTAGACATTTCAACACTTACAAGGATCAATCCAAAATGAAGGGAAGTAAAAGTAAACTGGGCAGAAAATTCTGCTTTTACCATAAGACAGCAGAAAAAGCTTTCCCCTTAAATAAAACCACCTGTTTTCTTCCTTTTATTACAAAACAAAATGAGGTTACTTATTGTTATGAAGACACATAAGATACATACTACTTTGATTATGTAACCTAGATAAATATAATTATAACATTAAACAAACAATCCTTACAGTTCTAACATTGTGCTAACACTACAAACTACATTTTAGCTGATGCAATTCATTACAAAATAAGAATACCCAAGTAGTATAAAAGCACAGAAACATTTCTCTGCTTTTATAAAAAGCTGTGATATGACGTATTTCTTGTTTTGGGTTAAAACAAGAGACAAGGTAAAAGTTCATAGGCCCCAAACTGGACTCTGTCTAAAACAGACATTTAATTTCAAAACATCCACCAATATTAAAAGACCATTCAAAGACTTGTCTATAATCCAAACAAAGGGTTGTAAATCCCAAATACTAGACTGAGTTACCCATTAAACCATCCACTAGTATGCTGCGTGTGTATGTTCAGATTAAGGACATAAGTATGCCTCATTTTTCTCTCCTGCCAGCTTCAATGAAGGAACTGAAATTGTCAAAACAGTCTGCTTTCTGAGCTCTTTGGAAAGGAACTTTCAAAACACTTTCCAGCTCAAAAGAACAGAACCAGCAACACTTTTAGAGAAATGAAGCAACTGTGCAACCCAACCACCCTAGAAATTGAAATGTTAAATTTGCTGCAACCCTCGGTTTGAGAGATAAAGGTTTAGAGTTTCATATTGGGGAAGTTTTAAAAAAGAAAGCACCTTTTTTTTTTTTTTTAAAAGGAAAACTGCAAGTCTAGGCATGTAAACTGTCACAGAGCCTCTAAAACACAATTTTCTACCCCAGCACAATCTTACCGTCTTCATTCTACAACACCAATTGGGAGGGGAGAAGAAAAGCATCAAGGCTTTTAAATTTTGAACAATTAAAGATTGCTACTTTTAAGCTTTTACAAGATAATCTGGCATCTCCCTTGGACATTTAGGATCAGATTTTCCAAAGATGGGAGTTAAAAGTGTGCTCTCAGCTTTCACATTCACAAGATGGACAGTCAGGTGATACAAGTACGCATGTAATTACACAATCTGGCTGTAATCAATGTTAGGAATGGGCTAAAACTAAAAATGTGTGTGGGGGAAGAACTCTATGTTGAACTGAGATGATAATGGATAAAATGGGACCCAGGTATAACTCCCCCTATCCCCCTGACCTTTTTTTTTTTGGTAAGATAGAAGCCTGATAAACAAGGATTTGCAAAATCAAAACCAAACTCCTCCTCGCTTTGTCCCTCTCTCATATATATATATATATGTTTAATGTCATGTTTGCCTTCTGAATGCAGTGTTCCAGGTTATAGGACTCACTGTAAAAGAGCTAAAAGCATTAAGATAGGATTTCATAGTAAAACCTGACAGCATTAAAGGGAGAAGCATAGAAGATATTTATAACTAGAGTGAGTCATCTAGTCAGTTTGATAAACATTTAACATCTATCAAATGCCACTTTAAGTCTTAAATATACAATTAGTTTCCAATTATCACTGCAATTGGTGGTAGGGACTGATCTAGTAAAGACTACTACAAGTTTTTACATTATAGTTTCCTATATTTCTCCACACAATATTCACCTTTTAGGCTCATTTGCACTTAGTCTCAGCTCTCTACCTAATGGTGATTTGGAGGGAAATGTATAAGCAAAATGAGTGAGGGAGGAGGGGGGGAAACCCAGAAAGCATTGTTTCCAGTGTTTTAAAAATATAATAAATCTAGCCACAACTTTTTGAACACTGCCGTAGCAATATGCTGGTGGTCTGAAAGTTGGCACTAGTGTCTTGCATGAACTGTAACAAACTGGTTTACATTTAGCAAAAACTAAGACTTTGGGAGTTGTGTACTGAGCCTGCATAATAGACATTTTTAATTCTATGGGTGCACTTAGGGGCAGAACCAGCTGCCAATTCCACAGCCATGAAATCCCACTGGCAGCAGAACTACTGTGCAATGGAGCTGATGAGCTAGATGTGAAGTGGGCTGAACAGGTTTTTGCAACAGCAGCCCCTCATTCTGGAAGGTGGGGCAGTGTTTTCACATGGCTTCCCCCGAACATGGGTGTGTTCCAGGAACACACACATTTGTTTATGAAAGGTTAAAAGTTTATTTGTAAAAGGCTGGTTCAGTTTTGTTCAAGAGGAATTTATAATCCAGGGCTCACTGTTAGTTCAGCAAACAAAACACCTCTGATTGCTTACAAGTTCCACTAGCCTTATTTTATCTGTTTTTCTCTAATTATTTTCCTCTTTAAAACTCCCACCCCTTCAAAAACAAACAGTAAATTAAGTGCAAATAAATATTAAGGTTGTACAATTAATCACAAAAAGACAGGAAATATAAAATTGAAGATTCCAACTACTATATAAACCTGGCAGCATTGTACATGTTCCATTTTTTATTACAGTTTGACTTCTCGCATGAGTAGCTTAATGTTACTGTATATGCTGTTAAATGTAAACTGTAAATTCTATAGGATATTTGACAAGGCTGAGTTAAAGCTGTTTTGGATACAGCTGTTCACATTTCCTTTTTGTGTTTGCAACTAAGCAATCTCAATATTGTATTAACATACAGGTATTTTTGGGGGTATGGTTTTTCACTTAATCTATACAAAGCAAGTAAACTCACTTGAAAAAGAAGGTCTTTCATCTGGATTTTGTGCCCATCCACTTGCCATTAATGTTACTATCAGCACTCGGTGGGGTATGTCTATTGATAAAGTTTCTTCACTAGTGTCTGGTCGCTGTCCTTGTGACACACTATACATAATCTGCAAGGGGTTTATAACTTCTGTCAAAATAGATATCAAGCATTTATTATAAATATATGTACTATAAATAGTTATCATTTACTATAGGAGGATACATTAAAATCGCAGACAATAATTAGGGATGTTGTAATTATGCCAAAATAATTGTTTTCAGATTACTGTACATAGGCTTTAGCTAAATGTAAATAAGGCTATAAAAGAAAACTAAAGAACACATTCTCACCTTCAAAGGGCTGTTTTCTTGACATCACTTCCCACATAATAATGGCATAGCTATTAAAGTAAAAATGTGCATTACTTTAGAACACTTTATGATTTTTGCTGACAATGCACTCAGCATCATACAAAACATTAAAATAAACTTGCACAACACCAACTTAAACGGCTGACTATAGTGATGTGCCCCTTCATACATGTTATGAAAACCAACAACAGGGAAAGTACTGAGTAAAGAACAACGTGCTAGAGCTAACTTTATTTATGGTGGCCATATGTGCCTTTGAAAAACCAAAGAACTGGGGTTCTATGTTAAGGACCTCACTGATTTCACATAAAAAAAATCCGTTTATAAGTCGAGAGTTTTTTTCTAACGGCTAGCCCTTCTCATCCTGGGCTCTCAGTGTTAAGAGGGCTTTCTTTCACAGGCCCGGTCTACACCTCTGAGTAGGTCCACATAAGGCAGCTTACGTCAATCTAACTGAAGAAGCGTCTACACTACAATGTTCCTCCCGCTGATTTAACTCATGCACGAGGCCAACCTAATAACTCCACCTCCAGGAGAGGCATAGTGATTAGGCTGATGTAGTTAGATCGACACAGTGTCCATGTAGACACTGAGTTGCTTACATCGCTTGTTGCTGTCTTTGGTCGCTGGATCCCCGCCGACCCAGGGCTGACTGTCAGAGTCCTGCTGCCCCAGGGTGGTGGGGCTCACAGCTCGGGGGGTCAGGCCTCGGGGCGGCGGGACTGGGGATCTGGCTTTCATTGCCCCACAGTGCTCCACTTAAGCTGGTGCATGCGCTGCTGGCGAGAATGCACACCAACAGAAGGAGTATAGTGTGGACAGGAAGAGCAGATTTAATTACCACGGTGGCTGTAGGCTGACCTAACATAAGTTGACTTAATTTTGTAGCACAGACATGCCTAAAGTAATATTAGTTCAGCAGGCCACCATCTATCCTTAGTTACATCTGTGCAAAGCCTTTAAACAGACTGTGAAGGGTAAACAAGGGAAAAAATGTGGTCCTGCAATTGGAACTCAGTTAATAATTCTATTAATTATGGGTAAGTCAAAATAGAATCTAGCTCCCTCTCCAGAGCTGTGTTACCGGTGCAGCGCTAACAGGAGTGAAAAGTAATTCAATAAATATTTTTGTCCATAAAGTATGGCTGTTGGGACTCTGAACATAAACAGAGATTGGTTGGGTTAGGTGTCATACATGCCATATTCACTCTGCAGAGAAGAATCTTCAGGAGACCATGTGGAAATAACTCCAAATTTACTAAACCTAATCGTGTTAATATATAAATCAATGGGTCTTTTCCCACTAATCTCAATGGGAGCAGAAATAGGCTCATAACTACAGTTTTAATAAAGGTGGAGCAGAACACTACTTATATGCAGCAACCCTTTGTTGTTGGTCCCCTGAGTAGTGACTTAAGAGAGAGTTCGCTGTCCCGGACATTTGGTACAAAGCAGTGGATTTTAAAGGCAAAAATTCTGCTTTTCAACAAGAGTAACTGAGTCAAACTGGTACAGAAGTCACAAAGACTCATCCCTGACAGGAAGGCCTAAGAGCATTCACAGAGGTGAATGAACTCTGCCAGAGCCTAGGAAACCCCCAACATCACTCTCCCATTCAATCTGAGATATGATATAATTAAACACTATCATCTCTTCTGTGACATTGTAGTCTGCAACTTCTTATTTGTTTTCCTTTGGCTATGTTCTTCTTTCCCTCACCACACCTTTCGCTTTCCTTCCATTGTATAGCTTGATTTGCTTCTGTTTTCTTCTTTAGTATGCAGCGTTGTAGCTGTGTTGGGCCCAGGATATTAGAAAGATAAGGTGTGTGAGGTAATATCTTTTATTGGACCAACTTCTGTTGGTGAGAGAGACAAGCTTTCGAGCTACACAGAGCTCTTCTTCATGTCTGGAAAAGGTACTCTGAGCATCATAGCTAAATACAAAGTGGAACAGATTGTTTAACTACTACCTACCTATGCTAAACAATCTGTTGTTTGTTTATTTATTTAGCTGTGACGCTCAGAGGACCTCTCAGACCCAAAGAAGAGCTCTTTGTAGTTGGAAAACTTGTCTCTCTCACCAGCAGAAGTTGGTCCAATAAAATATTACTTCCTCCACCTTGTCTCTCTTTTTCAATGGATGTTCTCTTCTCCTGTATTCTTTCTCCCTTCATCTGTCTTCTTCTCTCCTCCTTTGCTTTGGGTTCTCTCCCTTCTTTCCACCCATGTTCTCAATTTCTTCTTCCTTTCTTTCTGGACAATCTGTCCCTCTTTCCTTGTTCCCTCATTCCAAACCTCTTTTTCAGTCCAGTTTCCCTCTAAACTTACTCTTTCTTTCTCTCTCTCTCCTATCTCTCCTAACCAACTTCTTCCGGCTCTTCCCCACTCCTAACCAATACTGCCACATCCTTCTAAAAACCATAGGCATAGATGGGGCCTGCTGCAATATTCACTCCCTCTCCTGCTCCTCCAATGGAGGAGCTCCTGATTTTTCTTTCTTGCCCCACCCAGTCACACCTCTCAAAAGGTGAGAGTCACAGGGACATTCTCTCTCCCTGACCTCTTGCTAGGAATGCCAGGTGCTTCCTCTGCACCTCAAGGGGAAGAGCTAATTATAGAAGTTAGTGCTTTCTCTCTTCCTGGAAGCCCAGGCTTCAGCTTGGCATCTAAGTCTCTGAAACTGGTTCATTTCCTACCACTGCATCCATACACCTATATGTAATAAGAACAGGAGTACTTGTGGCACCTTAGAGACTAACAAATTTATTAGCGCATAAGCTTTTGTGGGCTTCAGCCCACTTCATCGGATGCATAGAATGGAACATATAGTAAGAAGATGTGTGTGCGTGTATACACACACACACACAGGGAAGGTGGAAGTTGGAAGTTTCCATACAAACTGCAAGAGGCTAATTAATTAAGATGAGCTATTATCAGCAGGAGAAAAAAACTTTTGTAGTGATAATCAAGATGGCCCATTCAGACAGTTGACAAGAAGGTGTGAGGATACTTAACATGGGGAAATAGATTCAATATGTGTAATGACCCAGCCATTCCCAGTCTCTGTTCAAACCCAAGGTAATGGCATCTAGTTTGCATATTAATTCAAGCTCTGCAGTTTCTCGCTGGAGTCTGTTTTTGAAGCTTTTCTGTTGCAAAATTGCCACCCTTATGTCTTTTACTGAGTGGCCAGAGAGGTTGAAGTGTTCTCCTACCGGTTTTTGAATGTTACAATTCTTGATGTCAGATTTGTGTCCATTTATTCTTTTGCGTAGAGACATCGGGCTTTGTTGCAAGGACAGGCTGATGGTGGGATGGAAATTGTTGAAATCATGGTTGAATTCCTCAAGGGCTTCTTTTCCATGGGTCCAGATGATGAAGATGTCATAAATGTAGCGCAAGTAGAGTATGCGCGTTAGGGAACAAGAGCTAAGGAAGCGTTGTTCTAAGTCAGCCATAAAAATGTTGGCATACTGTGAGGCCATGCGGGTACCCATAGCATTTCCATCCCACCATCAACCTCCGCCTGGACCAATCCACACAAGCGGTCCATTTCCTGGACACTACTGTGCTAATAAGCGATGGTCACATAACCACCACCCTATACCAGAAATCTACTGACCACTATACTTACCTACATGCCTCCAGCTTCCATCCAGGACACACTGCACGATCCATTGTCTATAGCCAAGCTCTAAGATACAACTGCATTTGCTCCAATCCCTCAGACAGAGACAAACACCTACAAGATCTCTATCAAGCATTCTTAAAACTACAATACCCACCTGTCATAAATATAAAGGGAAGGGTAAACACCTTTAAAATCCCTCCTGGCCAGAGGAAAAACCTTTTCACCTGTAAAGGGTTAAGAAGCTAGGATAACCTCCCTGGCACCTGACCAAAATGACCAATGAGGAGACAAGATACTTTCAAAGCTGGTGGGGGGTGAGGGGGGGCAAGAAACAAAGGTTCTCTGTGTCTGTGTGATGCTTTTGCTGGGGACAGAACAGAAATGGAATCTTAAAGCTTAGAAAGTAATCTAGCTAGATATGCGTTACATTCTGTTTTGTTTAAATGGCTAAAAAAATAAGCTGTGCTGAATGGAATGTAGATTCCTGTTTTTGTGACTTTTTGTAACTTAAGGTTTTGCCTAGAGGGATTCTCTATGTTTTGAATCTGATTACCCTGTAAGGTATTTACCATCCTGATTTTACAGAGGTGATTCTTTTACTTTTTTTCTTCAATTAAAATTCTTCCTTTAAGAACCTGATTGCTTTTTCATGGTTCTTAAGATCCAAGGGTTTGGGTCTGTGTTCACCTATGCAAATTGGTGAGGATTTTTATTTAGCCTTCTCCAGGAAAGGGGGTGTAGGGTTTGGGGAGGATTTTTTGGGGAAAGACATTTCCAAGCGGGTTCTTTCCCGGTTATAGATCTGTTAGACGCTTGGTGGTAGCGGCAATAAAGTCCAAGGAAAAAAGGAAAATAGTTTGTTCCTTGGGGAAATTTTAATCTAAGCTGGTAAAAATAAGCTTAGGGGGTTTTCATGCAGGTCCCCGCATTTGTACCCTAGAGTTCAGAGTGGGGAAGGAACCTTGACACCACCGTCGAAGTGAAAAAACAGACTGACAGAGCCAGAAGAGTACCCAGAAGTCACCTACTACAGGACAGGCCCAACAAAGAAAATAACAGAACACCACTACCTGTCACCCTCAGCCCCCGACTAAAACCTCTCCAGCGCATCATCAAAGATCTACAACCTATCCTGAAAAATGATCCCTCATTCTCTCAGAGATCTTGCGAGACAGACCAGTCCTTGCTTATAGACAGCTCCACAACCTGAAGCAAATAGTCTCCAGCAACCACACACCACAGAACAAAAACACTAACCCAGGAACCTATCTTTGAAACAAAGCCTAATGCCAACTCTGTCCACATATTTATTCAAATGACATCATAGGGCCTCATCACATTAGCCACGCCATCAGGGGCTCGTTCACCTGCACATCTACCAATGTGATATATGCCATCATGTGCCAGCAATGCCCCTCTGCCGTGTACATTGGCCAAACCATCTCTACACAAAAGAATAAATAGACACAAATCTGACAGCAAGAATTGTAACATTCAAAAACTGGTAGGAGAACACTTCAACCTCTCTGGCCACTCAGTAAAAGATTTAAGAGTGGCAATTTTGCAACAGAAAAGCCCCCAAAACAGACTCCAGCGAGAAACTGCAGAGCTTGAATTAATATGCAAACTAGATACCATTAACTTGGGTTTGAATAGAGACGGAGTGGCTGGGTCATTACACATATTGAATATTTCCCTAAGTTAAGTATCCTCACACCTTTTTGTCTACTGTCCAAATGGGCCATCTTGATTATCACTACAAAAGTTTTTTTCTCCTGCTGATAATAGCTCATCTTAATTAGTCTCTTACAGTTTGTATGGCAACTTCCACCTTCTCTGTATGTGTGTGTGTATATATATATATATATATCAATCTTTTTCTTTTATGTTCCATTCTATGCATCCGATGAAGTGGGCTGCAGCCCACAAAAGCTTATGCTCAAATAAATTTGTTAGTCTTTAAGGTGACACAAGTACTCCTGTTCTTTTTGCGGATATAGACTAACATGGCTGCTACTCTGACACCTACATGTAGGAGTCCCAGAGTGTCAGAACTCCTAGATATTTTTAAAATGTATGAAAATCATGGAATCCATGACTCAAGTAGCAAAAATGCAACCTTAATAGATATTCTTAAAAACTACGCTTGACTGTAATAGGCCATCTGTCAACTGTTATCCATCCACTTCCTCCACTCAATCCCCTCCTTGATTGTTTAGGCAGGTTTTAAGGTGGTACCCTTCTCTGCTAGCTTGTTCCGTACAGTAACTCCTCACTTAAAGTTGTCCTGGTTAACATTGTTACATTGCTGATCAATTAAAGAACACGCTCGTTTAAAGTTGCACAATGCTCCCTTATAACATTGTTTGGCAACTGCCTGCTTTGTCCACTGCTCACAGAAAAAACAGCCCATTGGAGCTAGCTGGTGGGAGCTTGGACCAGCAGCCCCCCTATCAGCTCCCCGCTCATGTAAGTTCCCTGTGCAGCAGCTGCCCAGCAGGCTATCAGTTGCTGGCAGTTCAGCTGTCCCTCCCCCTGCACTGCCATGTGCTGCTCCTGGGACGCTCCTGCTTGCTGTGCAGGGGTGGGGGAAGAGGCGGGCTAATGTCAAGGTGTCCCCCTCCCCTCTGCTCCTGCCTCCCCACTTACCCCATCTCCATAGAGCGGGGAAGGGGGTGGGGGGGATGAACGACCAAGACAACAGGGCTCAGGAAGGAGAGAGCTTGCTGGCAGCACCTTCTGTCTCAACTTGCTGATCTACTTAAAGAGGCAATGTACTTGAGTCGGTCAGTGTACTTAAAGGAGCAATGCACATCTCTCTCACACACAGGGTGTGTGTCTCTGTCTGCCACGCTGTCTCCCCTCCCTCCATTTGTGTTGCCTTGTAGAGTGTGAGACTACATTAACAACGTGTTAACCCTTGAGGGCTCAGCTGAGTGCTAGTTCATTTCGCAGAAAGGCATTCCCTGGGAAACATCCCACCCTCTTACTTCACCACCTCAACCAAGCTGCACAATCATCATTGCTGTGTACAATATTAAATTGTTTATTTAAAACTTATATTGTGTATATACATACATATATATATATATAATCTTTTGTCTGGTGAAAATTTTTTTCCTGGAACCTAACCCCCCCATTTACATTAATTCTTATGGGGAAATTGGATTTGCTTAATATCATTTCGCTTAAAGTCACACTTTTCAGGAACATAACTACAATGTTAAGCGAGGAGTTACTGTATCTCTTACACGTAGACAGCAACTTCTGTTGTTTCTTTTATAGGTACTATTACTCTATATGTGCCATTCCTCTATATGTGCCATTCAAGAGCTTACTGGAGTAGCTCTCCCTGGATTTCTATATGATGTATACTCTGTTTTTGCCTGTCCCTATTTGATGTATACTCCTATATTAATTTCTATTTGATGTATACTCTGTTTTTGCCTGTCTCTATTTGATGTATACTCCTATATTAATTTCTATTTGATGTATACTCTGTTTTTGCCTGTCTTTTTTCCTGACCTTTTCTAAGTTAATGCTTCTTCTCTCACTCCATGTTTGTCTTGCAAATTACATTAATCTCTGGACATTAGCAACAGAGATCTCTCAAGTAGGTGTGTACAGTTTGTTCATCTGGATGCTTGCACTTTGTTTTGCTACCTATTCTCTCTCTCCCCCCATCCATCCTGTTTTCAGCAGGGTAATTCTATTCCCTGCAAGCCTGATTTGTGGGATGTTCACAAAATTAAACAACGCTGGGTTAACTCCAACCAATCCCCTTTGTCTAGTTATCCTGGTTTTCCCCTAATTTCTAGGGCATTATATTTGTCCTAATGTTTGCTAGGGAAAGAGGTTTTCAAAAATTTTACTTTATCCATTTAGTGCCCCAAAATAATGTGTTCTGATTCATTATAATCGAGTTTCTTTGACAATTTTTACTTTTCAGTTTGCAGTGCTCACTGTAGGATAACAGGCAGTACCTGTATATATCATGCTTTATACTTGCACGGGTTTTCTGATTGGGATTATAGTCTTCGGGTGGCATGTAGATAATAGTCCCTCCCTCTGGCAGGGATTTGTCACCTCGTGATTGTGATGTGGACACCATGCGCCATTTCGATAAACCAAAATCCGCAATCTGGTAAAGAACAAAAATCTGTCATTCTGAGAAAACAACAGGTCCCATCTATGCACTGATGTTAGTGCAAGTTGTCAAAAATAGAACTGAATAAAGAGTTTGTTTAAAACCCTCCATCCCACTTGAAATGAAAGCAGCTATGGTGTTCTGCTAGCTACAAAAAACATCAACCTTGATTCAGAAAATGTTCCCAAATCAGGGTTCATGTTGTCACGCACATTATTATTATTATTTGAATTAACATAGCACTTAATGGCCCTAGTTATGGACCAGGACCTCACTGTGATAGGTGGTGTACAAAATAAATAGAATAAAAAGATGTTCCCTCCCATTGCTCCCTGTGGGAAACACCCCCATGTAGTCTGAGATTTGGCTGTGGATTCACCCTTGCTAAAAAACCAGATTTCAGAATATTAGCTTTCATTTCCAAAGACCAAACACTTATGTTTCTAGCCCTTATGGTTGGGAACAAAAATCTTGAAAACATTAATTAAGTGTAAAACGATGCAGCACTATCCAAAAACAACAACAACTCAGAGACTGATGCAGTTCATATCATCTCAATCAGAGCTCCTTGGACCTTACAATTCCCCAGCTATGGAATCTAGTGTTTTTCCAAGATGCCATAGAATTCATAATTTTGGCTGTGAAATTTGCCATTTTGCTGCAGACAGGCATCCAATATTTTGTTTGCTGTTTCCATGTCTGGCTGGGATGTGTCTGAAATTGCTTCTTACTCTCTGTTCTTCCCTACAAGCTAAGAGTTAATTGGTTTGCAATGCATGCACCTGTGATGGGGTTTCTACCCTCCACACTTTCCCTGAAGGGGTTAATGGGAAGCCAGATGGGCCAAATAACCTTTTAGTCTGAGAGGAAAGTGAACCTGTGTGGGAACAGGCAGGGGTTCTAAAGCCAGGGAGCTGATAGCAGGAAGGACAGCAGGGAGGGAGTCTACAGTCACTCCGTGGGAGAAGGGAGATGTGTTGGGGGGCTATCGACAAGTGGGACAAGTAGCCCACTATTGTTCCCTGGGAGGAGGGAGAGGGAGTAGAGAGACTGACAAACCCCAGAGAGTGGGGGAATGCCAAGATTGGAAGCAGCTCAGGGAATAAGCAGCAAGGTTGGGGACTGAACAGACCTTGGCTGCATGTTGTAGGGTCCCTAGGCTGGAACCCGGAGTAGAGAGTAGGCCCATGTTCTTCTACCTGACACTGGGAAAGTGGCACTGGCAGGGTACTGAAATGGAAGACTGCCTTGGTCACTATGGGAGTAACAGAGACTTTGAAGGACTATACCCCAGAAGGGGGGAATGCTGAGCGACCTGGTCAGAGGCCGAATCACAGAGAGGACAGCTGCAGCTCTTGAGAGCAAGAACAGCTGCAGAGGAGAAACTGATGGGGTTTAACCACTAGAATGGGCGTTTCCGTGACCGAGGTAATCCCCAGAACCGCTAAGAGGTGGCATCATCCAGCAGTGAGTATAGCAACCTGTCACAGCATCCCACACTGTTCCATGGAACCAGGCAGCAGGGGATCAGGGAGTAAAAGCTGGAATCTAGCTTCCAGAATGGGGGAGAGGGAACCAGAAGTGTAGGCTGGCCAGTTGGGATGCCTAGAATTCCTCACAGTGGCCAATGGGTGGGAATCCAAGGAGATGAAGCGAACTACAAACTCCCCACTTTCCTGGTACACACATGAGAGGAAAAAAGGGTTCTGAGCAAGGCTGCCTGGACAACATTGCAACAAGTAAGATCTATGGATATGAGCCTCCTGGAGAATACATGAAAACAAAAGTCAAAAATAATTATTGACTCGTGTTATGTCACTGACTGGGCCATAGTTGTGTGTATTTACGTAGGACAGGTGGAAGTGAAGGAAGAATATTTCATGAGAACAGAATAAAATAAGGTGCTTGTAATGCACTTGATTTCATTGTGTCATGGAGTACATGGCCTGTCTGCAAGTGCTTTCTCCTGACTAGCTTTTGAGGTCATTGGGGGAGGAGGGACTGCTTTTAAAACCAATCTGCATACTGCACTTGTGTGTGTTTGGTCTCATTGTAATTCAACCCTTTAGAAATCTTACTCATTTAGCAGATTTCTGATGCAATCAGACACACTGTATGACTGCATATTTTACATATATTCACTGCTTCCTTTTTTATAATACACAGCAGATGTATCTAATATTGCTCCTTCCATTTTTTGCCAGTTATCAAAATCTTCATTTCACTCCACCCAAAGGCAGCTCAAATAATTAGAGAGCTAGTTAATAAGCAATGAGCAATTAACCCCCATGTAAAGCATCTGTAAAAAATTAATCTTAAAGCATTAACCATCCAAATTTAATGCAAAGCATCTCCCTCAACTACTGTAATACTAAATATTCCATAACCTCCATTTCAAATTTTAAAACTGTTGATGAAAGGAAACAAAACTTTATCAAACTGTTTTTATTTCTATTCAAATTCTAAAAGTGACTAACAGTTTTCTTAACAAATGGATTCTTCATCACCAATACTTCCTCTTCTTTGCCTCTGAATTAAAGGTCCATAATAAACCATTAAAGTTAAGATGGCTGAGAAACAATTTCACGTGTGTTTTGTTCTATTTTAAGGTGAATATAAAGCCTAACAGGCAACCAAGGCTTTGATAATTCCCTCATCAATTCTCCTTCAGGAATTATCTGCCAGGTAGGTTTCTTGCCTTCCCATACTATCCAAACCCAGAGCGTGCATATTTGAAGAGATGTTCTAAGGCTACATTAAGTATTGCTGAGTGAACAATGACAATTTGGATGCAAGACAGTACATCATATATTACACTGTTGTTGGGAATGGGAAACCCACCAGGGCCTACCTGAGTTCCTCTGACTTCAGAGCTTGAGTAGTTTTTAGAAGGAGTTTCTACTCTGAAAGGACCACATTAAGGGTTATCCTCAAGGACTTTCATAAGAAAGTTTTGCCACTTCTGAATATTAGCCACTGCTTTTATTTCTTGCACTGCCTAATTACTTCTCTAATTCCTCTCTATTTTGTTACCATGAACTAACATTATGCTTATCTTAACACTATCTTATCATAGTACCTCTAACCCCCCTTCTCTGTAACTAAACCTGTGAAATCACAACTACTTTTATGTTAATTTTGCTGAGAATTTGGTTTTCTTCCCTAGGTATAATGCCTTCAGATATCCACAGGTTCATCTCAGTTGAATTTCTTATCTACTAACTTTGATTTATTTCATCTGTATGGCATACTGCATAGGCCAACATTATGAAAAGCCAGTATGCTGCTAAAGGCCAGGAATCTGCAATTGGATTGGTGCAAGTCAATCCCTGTTTCTGTGTGGAACCTCACTGAAGAAGATGGGGCTCTGCCTGCAAAGACACAACTGCAGAACAGAAGTATAAGTTTGTCCCTTCCTATCCCCACTCCTTGTCTGAAATATTAAACACACTTCAGTTCTGCTATGTGTAACGGGACTGTTGTCCCCTTACTAGAACTCAGTGGGAGTGTTTTGGTTGGCTAGCTCCCAGTACTAAAGGTAAGGGGAAGGGTCGATGGGAAATCAGGACCCTGAGACCGACAGTCCCCAGGAACAATGGGGAGAGGCCAATGCTCCAGGTCAGCCTGATCGACAGGGCGGGCAGGCCAATCAGGGAGTCAGGAAGCCAGGGGATCCCATCCTTCGTGTGAGCTGGAATTGCCTGGGTCAGACAGAGTGGAGCTGGAACAGTCTGGAGCCAGATACAGCGAGTAGCTGCAGAGAGCGAGCGGGACCCTGGGCAGCGGGCCCAGCGCAGGGAGACGCCCCCAGCCAAGACGCCTTACAGGACAGACTTGGAGGGGGATCGTAACCCTGACGGGCTGGGGGCAACGCTAGGAAGAAGGGTCCTGCCACCTAAAGCCTGAGCTGCGGCCAGCGCCAGAGCAAGTGTCCGACCCGCAGCATTCCTGTAGCACAGCCAGGCCTCACAAGGAGGCCTGGGACTTGTGAGGAACAGACTGAACTTCCCTTACATTCCAGAGATGCTGGCTGTGTGTCCCCATCCCACAGAGTGGGGTGATGTGTTTTCCTTTAACCTTTCCCATTTTTTCCTTATTTTTTTTAAATTGATTGCTGTTTAATACATTGTATTTGCTTTGAACTGTATGTAATGATCTATGGGTTAGGGAAGCATCCAGTGCAGAGAGAGCACCCCGGAGTGGGGACACCCAGCTCCTGCCCTAAGTGACCACAACAAGGTTGGGGGTCGAGCCCCCCAGGAATCCTAGGCCCAGCCTTGTTGGGGTTACGAGGACTCTGCCAGACAGAAGAGTGGAGGGGAGCCCTTGAGGTCAGGCAGACCTCCAGGTAAAGGAAGTGGGAGTGAGGACTCAGATCCTTTCGCTAGCCCAGTTCACCAGGATAGTGTATAAGCCAGGAAAGTTCCCCACAATGGTGAAACCATTCCCCTGCTTACATGTGCTCGCTGAAGAGGAATATAGGGACTAAAATAACCAGGACCTTACCTTAACATGAAACTCGCTATCCAGTAAAATATTTTGGGTCTTCAAATCATGGTGCAGCAATGGAGGACTCATGTTGTGCAGATAATTCACTCCCAAAGCAATTTCATACAAAACCCGGAATCGCAGTGACCACGCAATGTCAGGATACACATTTTTCTACCAAAGAAAAAAGAAAACCAGAAAAAATCACAATATCATCATTCATTTAAATATTCTAACAAAAATCTATGAGTTAGAGGAGACATAGTTTGAGAAGAGGTTTTTTTACATCTTGTATTCACAAATTTAAAAAGTGACAAATCATTGTGATTGGTGTTAATTTATGTATTTGTTTTAACATTATGAACTGTTTAATCACTCATTACTATGCTCCTGTTCTTTAGCAATTAAACTCTATCAATTCATGATCATTATATACGCTGTTACTAATACACATACTTTATGACCTTGTGATGATAAAGTTCTAGATAAGATTTAGATATTATCATCAACAGACTCAGAGTGCTTTACAAAAGTGGGCAAGTATCTTCTTAACCCTCTCTATTCCATTGCAGAACACAGGGTCTTCACCACTGCCTTTCATCTTTGCTGGTCTCCTCCTGCAGTCTTAGTTTTCAATTCTGCTTATATTATGTAGTTCAGTGTTATCGTTGGTCTACCTTATTGCCTGCCTCTTGCCCTAGGGGTTCCAATCCAATTCCTGTCTTACATCATTTAGTTTTCTAACTCTATATACTACTAGCTATCTCCACTTTCGTTCCAGAATTTCTTGTCCTAGTGGCTTCTGTTTTATCCTTCTCCAGAATTCTTTATTTGTGACTCTTTTTCCCCCAGCCATCACATACTGAGGATTATTCAGCTGTTTATTAAAACTTGGAGTTTAGATAGTGAAGTCTTGAGTCTCCAAGTTTCAGCACAATATAGTAAGACCAACTTTAGAACAGTGTTAAATATTCAAAGTTTTTAGTTTGGAAGCAAGATTTCTGTTTCTCCAGATTGGCTTTAGAGTTTCAAAGGCATGTCTGGCTTTTGGTACTCTGATTTTAATGTTTTCATCTGCTCTACTTTGTTGTGTCACAAATCAGGGCATTTCCCTGTTCCCTCTCAGTGGTCCAGCCAGGGTACCCACTGTCAGGCTTGCAGCTCCCCAGCCACTGCCTTTCTTGGGTGGAGACCTATATCTCACTCTCTTTTCACTTGGGTATTTCCACGCTGAGAAGTTCCCTGCCTTAGCTGTGTTATTCCCAGCAGAGTGACTGCCCGTGGTTGTAATTTACCACACAGTTCTTTTTAAGCAAGGATATTTTATTCTTAAGGTAAAAAAACATTACAGAGAATATGTTAAGAATACAACTACATGCACGCTAATACAATTACCAGAGATCACCCTAACATGGGTTCTGGCATTCACCAACCCCCCAAAGCGGTTTCCCTTTTGTTTCAAGTTCATCATAGCTTCAGCTCAGAACAAGCACACAGTCTTATGGGACCTCAGTAGGCGAAGTCCATCTAATCCTTCCTTAAAGGACGGGGGCCTCTATGGACCAGAGATCCTGTCCATCTGCTGGGCCAGCAAGAAGGACCTGCACCAGGATAGTCATCCAAAAGTCTTTTCTTTGTCTGTTAGTCCATGGAGAATCCATTTTGAACTAATATATACAGATCTCACTAAGGGGCGACTTCAAAGGGGCTCATAACCTGAGGAATTACAATAGCATCCCCATCCTCCTAGAGGAGTGACCTACAATTACATAATAAATATGCACAACTGCATTTTTAATACAATGGACCCCCAAAGTATTAAACCTAATTCAATAAAGTTTACAGAATTAAGTTAAACCTTATCCTAATTCCATAAGGATTGTGCAGGATACTGTCAGTCCGTCGCATGTTGTATTTACAATGCTGTCAAGATATGTGAAATATCGGACCTCTTTTGTGTCAGGCCCAGAAAATGTTATTGGTGTTGTGTGTTGATTCTTACGGTTGAAGTTTTCTTAGTGTTGATTTTCAACCTTATTAATTGTGCATAAGCCTGGAGATCATTTGTTTTGGCTTTCATGTCTCTATGGGTAAGTGATAGCATGTTGATGTCATGCACAAAGTCAAGTTGGTCTAATTTCTGTTTGAAAATTCATTGTATGTCCTTTCATTGTTCTGTGCTCCCTCTCACTACCCAATCCACTATCTGTAAAAAGATCCTGGGTGACATAAGAAATCCTCGCCTGATGCCCAGAGTGACTTTGAATGGTTTAGTCAGTTCACTATTACGTACTACTTGGCACCTCATATTTTCATAGAAGCTCTGAATGATCCCCACAAATTTTGGAAGGATTCCATAGTGGTGTAATCATGTTCATAAAACAGTTCTATCCATTATACCAAAAGATTTTTGGAAATCTAAAAAATTCATATAAAGTGGTGACTGTCGTACAATCAACAGTTCTATGTTGATACATAAGATTATTATTTGATATGTAACTGATTTATCCTGTCTGAACCGTGCCTATATCTTGAATCTACAGAGGATGTCAGCTTTTAGGTGACAAATCTGCAGAACTGTCCCAGATGTCAATAGAGGAGGTTTTGGAACAGATTGATAAATTAAATAGTAGAGCTGTCAAATGATTTAAAAAAATCTCAATTAACCAAGATTAAAACAAAATTGTGATTAATCGCAGTTTTAATCACACTGTTAAATAATAGAATATCATTTATTTAAATATTTGTGGATGTTTTCTACATTTTCAAATATATTGATTTAAATTACAACACAGAATACAAAGTGTATTATTGTAGCCAGCATTGCAAGGTATTTACATGCCAGATTTGCTAAACAGTCCCATGCCCCTTCCTGCTTCAACTACCATTCCAGAGGACACTACCATGCTGCTGACAGGTTCTGCTTGATAACAATCCAAAGCAGTGCGGACCAATGCACATTCATTTTCATCATCTGAATCAAATGCCACCAATTGAAGGTTGATTTTTCTTTTTTGGTAGTTCTGGTTTTGTAGTTTCCAAATCGAAGTGTTGCTCTTTTAAGACTTCTGACAGCATGTTCTGCACTTCGTCTCTCTCAGATTTTTGGAAGGCACTTCAGATTCTTAAACTTTGGGTTGAGTGCTATAGCTATCTTTAGAAATCTCATATTGATACCATCTTTGCGTTTTGTCAAATCTGCAATGAAAGTGTTCTTAAATCGAACAACATACGTTGGGTCATCACCCGAGACTGGCATAACATGAAATATATGGCAGAATGCAGGTAAAATCATGGAGTAGGAGACATACAATTCTCCCCCAAAGAGTTCAGTCACAAATTTAATTAATGCATTATTTTTTTAATGAGAGTCATCAGCATGGAAGCATGTCCTCTGGAATGGTGGTCAAAGCATGAAAGGGCATACAAACATTTAGCATATCTGACACGTAAATACCTTTCAATACCGGCTACAAAAGTGCCATGTGAATACCTGTTCTCACTTTCAGGTGACATTGTAAATAAGAAGCAGGCAGCATTATCTCCCATAAATATAAACAGTCTTGTTTGTCTTAGTGATTGACTGAACAAGAAGCAGGATTGAGAGGACTTGTAAACTCTAAAATTTTAGGAGTTTTTGAGTGCAGTTATGTAACAATTCTACATTTGTAAATTGCACATTCACGATAGAGATTGCACTACAGTACTTGTATGAGGTGAATTCAAAAATATAATTTGTTTCTTTTACAGTGCAAATATTTATGATTAAAAATATAAAATGATCACTGTACACTTTGTATTCTGTGTTGTAACTGAAATCAATATATTTGAAAATGTAGAAAAATATTTATAAAAAACCAGTTGGCATTCTATTATGGTTTAATAGTACGATTAAATTTTTCAGTGAGTTAATTTGTTTTGAATTAATTGCTTGAGTTAACTGTGATTAATGGATAGCTCTATAAAATAGTAAGTTGCCAGAATGAGATAGTATTCACCCAAAAGTTTTGAAGGAACTGAATTACGAAATTGCAGAACTACTAACTGTGGGATGTAACCTATCATTTAAATCAGTTTCTGTACCAGATGACAGGAGGATAGTAACGTTACACCAATTTTAAAAAAAAGGCTCCAGAGGCTATAGCAATTACAATTACAATTCCTGGCAATTACAAGCCGGTAAGTCTAAATTCAGTATCTCACAAATTGAGTGAAACTATAGTAAATAACCGAATTATCAGACATACATAAATACACTTTGTTGAGGAGAGTCAACATGGCTTTTGTAAAGGGAAGTCATGCCTCACCAATCAACTAGAACTCTTTGAGGGGGTCAACAAGCATGTGGACAAGAGGGATCTAGTGGATATAGTGCATTTAGATTTTCAGAAAGCCTTTGACAAGGCCCCTCACCAAAGGCTCTTAAGCAAAGTAAGCAGTCATGGGATAAGAGGGAAGGTCCTCTTATGGATCAGTAACTGGTTAAAATATAGAAAACAAAGGGTAGGAATAAATGGACAGATGTCAGAATGGAGAGAGGTAAATAGAAGTGTTCTCTAAGGATCCAGCGCTGCTCAACATATTCATAAATGATCTGGAAAAGGTGGTAAAACGGGGAGGTGGCAAATTTTGCAGATGATACAAAATTACTCAAGTCCAAAGCAGACTGTGAAGAGTTATAAAGGGACCTCACAGAACTGGGTGACTGGGTAACAAAATGGCAGATGAAATTCAGCATTGATAAATGCAAAATAATGAACATTAGAAAACAACCCTAAGAACACATACAAAACGGTGGTGTCTAAATTAGCTGTTACACTCAAGAAAGATCTTGGAGCCATCGTGGATAGTTCTCTGAAAACATCTGCTTAATGGCAGCCTCAGTCAAAAAAAACAAAACAAAACAAAAAACTAACAGAATGTTAGGGACCATTGCGAAAGGGACAGATAATAAAACACGAAATCATAATGCCACTATTTAAATCCATGATACATCCAGACCTTGAATACTGCCTGTAGTTCTGGTCACCCCATCTCAAAAAGATATATTAGAATTGGAAAAGGTACAGAGAAAGGCAACAAAAATGATGAGGGGTATGGAACAGTTTCCATAAGAAGAGAGATTAAAAAGACTGGGACTTTTTAGCTCGGAAAAGAGACGACTGAGGGGGGATATGATCAAGGTCTATGAAATCGTGACTGTGGAGAAAGTGAATAACGAAATGTTATTTATCCCTTCACATAACACAAAAACCAGCGGTCACCCAATGAAATTGATAAGCAGGAGGTTTAAAACAAACAAGGAAGTACTTCACACAACACAGAATCAACCTGTGGAACTCCTTGCCAGGGGACGTTGTGAAGTCTAAAACTATAATTAAGTTCAAAAAGAACTAGATAAATTCATGGAGTATGGGTCCATCAATGGCTATTAGCCAAGATGGCCAATGATGCAATCCCATGCTCTGGGTATTATTAGCATCTGATTGCCAGAAGGAGGGAGTGGATGACAGGGGATGAATTATTGCCTGTTCTGTTCATTCCCTCTTAAGCATCTGGCATTGGCCACTGTTGGAAAACAGGATACTAAGCTAGATGAACCATTGGTCTAACCCAGTATGGCTGTTCTTATGCACGGATTTCTTGATTTTGCCTAGAATAATACTTGTAAACACCTTACTTGCAAGAGACATCTGTTCTATGCCCCTCCAGTTTTTACACTGACTGAAGTCTTCTTTCTTTGGCAGCTTCACTACATGACTCCTTTTCCACTGATTTGGTAACTTTTCTTCTTTCCATATATTTTGTAAAGGGCCTATCAAAATGTCTACTGTTTTCCTCAAGTCTGCCTTAAGAACCTCTGTTGGAATGTTACCTGGACCTGGTGCTTTTCCGTTTTTAACTGATTGACTGCCCTCTCTACTTCTACACTGGTGACAGGTTCTAGTTTGATGTCCAGATCTTCTCCTTCCTCTATATCCGGGGGGAATGTCCACTGGCTTTCCATTCAGTAGTTGAATAAAATACTGCCTCTATATATTTAATTGTTTTGATGTCTTTATCATTATGTTGCCCTTGCTGTCTTGAATTGGTCGGTTGGTATACTGTCTTCATATCATTTTGTGCTGCAGTGGTCTGTGCATCAATTGCCACTTTATCTATAAGTTCTTATTGGTCTTTCATAGCACTCATTTTGGCCCCTGTACTCTTTATGGTATATTCCTCAGAGAGAGAGAGAGAGAGAGAGTGTGTATGTGTCTGTTTTCTTGGTCTTGCTTGATTTAGTTTATTTAATTTGGTATCTTTTATTTCCTGTCATATATCCTCAGATAACCATTCACTGTGGTGTTTCTTCCTGAATCCCAGCATTTCTTCAGAAGTTTTAGTGATAACTTCCTTTTCCCATTTCCATTTGCCTTCTACTGTTCCATCATCTTCAAGCACCTGTTAATGCAATTCTGAACTCTGATTGCATTGTCATCTGTGTTAGGTTGGTGATGTTACAATGTAGGCATCTCTGTTGTTCAGTCATCTTTATTTTTATTCTCAAAATATCTACCATTAATGCACGGTCTGTCCCTATATCTGCCCCGTTCCTTCTATGTACATCTTCGAATGTTCTTCTTCATTTGAGCCACACTATGATGTGATACATTTGTTTTCCTGTTCTGTGACCTGGTGACCTCCAAGTTATCTTAGGAATACTACGGTGAAGGAAGATATTTCCTCCAATGATCAGGCCATTTGTTCCACAAAAATCAGCAAACATTTTACCACTTTCTTTCCATTGATGCCTTGTTTCCCTATAATAGCTTCCCTGACAGTGTTATTGCTCCCTACTTTAGCATCCATGTCTAGGTCAAAGGGTAGGAGCCAGACTTAAGGCAGTCCACCGGCCCACCTGCTAGTAAGCCACTACTGTAAGAAACAAAGTTGTTAGGGAAATCTGCACTACCCCGCAGTTCAAAAACTCAATCCAACTCAACTCCATTCAAATAGACTTATGAGAGATGATGATGTGAAATGGCCAAACACACAAGGAAGCTACTCTGCTGATGAATTTGCTGTCTCCTAAATTGGTATGCAGAATATGCGGTGTGAAGGGACATGCCCTTCCACCAGCTGCAAGGAGGCTAACAAGCTACTCTGGGCCTGTGCAGCACTAATGAGGTACCCCTGTTCCTCCTAGAGGAGAAGGAGCTTATTTGGGGAAGCATACCATAGGAAGGGGCGGTGACCAGGAAGAGGCTATGAATAACTGAGGCAGGCCGGGTGAGGAACAGACAGCCACAGAACACACTGCTTCCAGAGCAGCCCCAGCTGACAGCCAAGTAACTCACTCCAGAAAGAAGGAAGGGGGATGTAAACCCTATGTAGGCGCAATAAACTTTCAGAAACTGAGCCTGTAAAGACCTATCCAGGGACGGTCTGAGAGGCTGACCACTGTTTCAGCCAGACCCTCCTCTAACAAGGGGCAGGGAGAAAGAAGAACCAGCCCTCTGCCAGGGAGCAATTACTCCCAGAAAACTCCCCTAAGTGCATCCACTGGGGGAAGTAGAAAGAGTAAACGAAGGACAGTGGGACCTGGAGGAGGAGGGAAAATGTGTCTAGGGAGTGCTACCCCTCCTATATGTGGACACTATATAAGCCTAGAAAAGTGATCCAAATAACAGAACTTGACAGATATAAACTAGATATACTAGGTCTAAGGGAAATGAGTTAGGCAACATTAGGACAAATATCTTTTGTCAATTGAACACATCTTATTACATTCTGAGCTACCAAATGCCAGTGACATACACAGAGATGGCAAAGGTTTTATATTATCAAAAGAAGGCAACCAAAAGCATGACAGAATGGGCACAAGTTCTGGAAAGGATGATAACAGTACTATTTACACCAAAGTTCCAGAAAGTGTCCATTATTCAATGTTTTGTGCTCCAACAAATCAAGCTAGCCAAGAGGAAAAAGAAAATTTCTACTTGTGGCTACAGAAAATAATACATAATATCCCAAGAAGAGATGTCCTCCTCGTAAAGGCAAGCATAATATCCCCATTTTACAAATGGGAAAACAGAGGAACGCACAGACAAAATGACATGTCCAAGGTCACCCAGCAGGCCACTGGCAGTTGCAAAAAGAGAATCAAGGTCCTCTAAGTCCCAATCGAATGCCCTGTCCACCAGACAATACTGCCTCCCAGTGATGCTAGATTACACTAAAACTAAACACAAACACTATCTTTTAAAAATGTTATGACTGAATTTCTCAGCTTTTGTGGGTATGTTTCACAAACTGAATATGAAAGTTCAGTCCTTCATTTTAAAAAAGCACAACTGCGTGCCTGTTTTAGTTTTGCAATTTCTGACTTATCAGTTTGAGTCATAATCTTCTTTTAAAAGACTATTCACAGTAAAAAGAAAATGAATGCAAATTATTCACATGAATGAATTACTCCTGTCAAAAAATTAATTAAATTCCACACTGAAAAATTAAACTCTGCGCACAATATTTTAAAATTCTGGATATTTTATTTTGTCAAAACACCACAATATAACTACACCGGTTTCAATTATTTTGGTAATTTATGTCAAAATACCTCTCAGGAAGCATGTCTGTAACAATGCAGACAACAACAACAAAATTTAGGAAATGTTTTTTTTTACAAGTAGATTCCTTACTAGGTATATAAAAGCAGAACTTTGAGTAATTCATTTAAACTAGACTACAGAAACGTATTTCCCACATCCCTCTGAAGCAGTGCAAAGGGTTGACAAAGAAGTCAGGGGTAATGGAGGAGCTGAGAGAGTGGGAAAGAGCCTGGGAGTGAACCTGGAAGGTTGTTGGGTGTGGTGGTAGAAGTGTTGTTTTTTTGCGGGGGAGGGATTGTTAGGAGCCTCCCCCGTGCAGACCCTGGCTGACCCCTAGCCTCTCCCAATCAGTCAGGCACATCTGCCCGTCCCTGTACGTCCCCTACATCCTGTCCCCATGTGGCCATGAAAATCCCCATGCCTCATCCTCATGTGGCCCTGCAGCCTCCCTCCCATTCATTCCCTGGCTCAAAGCTATCACTATACTAGCTCCTGAGCCTGTGTCCCAGTCTGTTTCCTACCCCGCCCCATTAGCCCTTCTGAACCCCAGTCTGTGACCTCCAGCAACCCTGTGTGCCATGCTCTGTCCTGCCCGTGCCTCCTGGCGTCGCGGTAAAGAACTGCCCTCACCTGCCAGCCGATTGCCCTGCCTTCTGGTGCCGTAGCAGCGCCTGGTGGGCAAAAGGCATAACTGCAGAGCCTCTCCGGCAGAATCTATATTCTGCGGAGATAAAAAATCTGATGGGGGAGGGAGGGGAGAGAGACGAGGGCATGAATTCTGCACATGCGCAGTGGCGCAGGATTCCCCTAGGAGTAATGAATAAACGCATGCATGCACAGTAAAGACCAAAGATTCTGAAACCAGTACAGAAATGAGTTCAACTATTTGAGCTCTCATTGAGTTTCTAATTATTTGCAAATCACAGCTGACTGAATGGTGAGTTAAAAACATTTCCCTGTAATTTCTCTAAAGCCCCAAATACTGCAACGGTCTTAATGGGGGTAGGTTGCTGCTCCCAGACAAGGCCCCACTGACTTCAAAGAGGCTCTTCAAAGATATAGCAGTCTGCCTGAGCAGAGTAAATTGCAGGCTAGGGCCCAATACTTTTTTCCATTAAAAAAATGGTTACTACTTGATTTCCTCATGCACGCAAAACAGACCATTTAACGGCAACAACTAGAAGTGACAAACAAAAGGCTTTAGAAAAACACTATATACTTACCCCATGTAAAAGTTGGTTTAATGATCCATTTGTCATGTATTCAGTCACTATTCCCAGAAACTCAGGCTCATTGCAAATTCCCAAAATTGGTAGAATGTAACTGAACCTGGCTTTGTGTAAAATCTCTGCTTCTTTTAAGAGATTGGTTCTTTCACTACAAGAAAAAAAAAATAAATGACTAAATCAGTGCTAAGAAGCCTGCAATTATGATTTAGTTCATTTAAATATATTATGTTTACTTTTAAGGTAAGAAAAGAAACACAGATGAAAGGTGCACTGAATTAGCTTCACAAAATTAAGATCTCACTATACGAAAACATTGACAACACTAAAATTTATTTTTTACTGGACTGTTGTATACAATTATCACGAAATGCTTCACAACAGATTACTTACTATATATAGATGCAAACACATGTAAACCACACAGGTTACGTTTTACTACACAGTAGCATTGATAGATATGCCACAACAGGAATTCAATTTTTCAGCAAGAATAATTGGGCCTTGCTGTGGCAGGTTGTTTTTCTGGTATTTATACTCTTGGGCATATTACTAGAATACTTGAAACATGGGTAATATAATGGGTGCCATTAACATTTCCAAATTTATCACTCTAGTGACAATTAGTATCTCCTTGTATTTTTGGTATATTGTGGTACCACCATAACTACAAATGGGAATTTTCAATTATATCCACTCCTTGTTTAGTGTAAAGTGGGGAATTTCCATATCCATCTCATGAGCCAGAGCTAATGGCATTCAAAAGGTTTCTAGCGTCTTTGACTGAGCAGACACCAGTGCACCCTAGGAAAATACAAGTTAAGATAAATACATCCAGTGAAAATATAATTATCCAAAGAGGGGAAAAGAGAAATGGCTCAAATTAACTATTTTTGATTATCAAGAAAAGTCTTCCAATCTTGCTTATCAAATAAAAAAATATCACTCAAGACTGGTTATGGCCCTGAAAGACATCAAAAGCAACACCCCGCACAGGAGACACTTTTCAGCTGTACGTGAAGATACGTTTTTAGGCTGGAGATATACTGTCTGTGCTGTCTGGAAGAGGCATTACAGTTTAATATTGGTTTTTAATTCCAGGGAACAATATTAAGAAAACTAAGTTTCTTGCCTTCAAGATTGCAGGGAAAAGCTTGATAATGTGATCTGAGTGGACCTACATTTTTTAAAAAAAAGAGGTAGAGGGTAAAAAACCCAAAATATGGGAGGAGGTTGTTTTCAATATCATAATATTTAAAACAAATCAATTTTTGGAGGCTGATTTCTTTAAAAAAGTATTAAAATATTAAAAAACCTGTGGCAACACTGACTGAGACATAACTTATACCAACGTAAACTGTAGTGTTTACATAGCTAGAGCAATGAAAAGAAACTAAACCCAGACTCTAGGTCAATGGGGCTCTGCACAAGCGCAAGGATCTTCCCATGATATCTGACTGCAGGATCTGGAACCCTAAAGCAATGGTTCTCAACCAGGGGTAAGTGTATTGCTGGGCATATGCAGAGATCTTCCAGGGGATACATCAACTCATCTAGATATTTGCCTAGTTTTACAACAGGCTACATAAAAAGTACTAGCAAAGTCAGTAGAAATGAAAATTTCATACAGATAATGACTTGTTTATACTCCTCTATATACTATATTCTGAAATGTAAGTAAAATATTTACATTCTAATTCATTTATTTTATAATTATATGGTAAAAATGAGAAAGTAAGCAATTTTTCAGTAATAGTGTGATAGGACACTTTTGTATTTTTATGTCTAATCTTGAAAGCAACTAGTTTAAGTGTGGTGAAATTTGGGAGTATGCAAGACAAATCAGACTCCTGAAAGGGGTACAGTAGTCTGGAAAGGTTGAGAGAACTAAAGGATAAGAGCCCATTAGGTTCGGGGATGGGGGTGGGGAGAAGGGAGTGTTTTGGAAACTAAGATTAGTTTATTTTATTTTATTACAGAGAAGGTTAGACTCTATAGGCCTGTGAGACAAAATAGGGTCTTTAGAAAAGAAGTGTAGCCATCAGACCTTGAAGTCAAATAGGTATAGAGAAGGAGGAGTTGTTCCTGATGTTGCAAGAAGGCAGGATCTTGCTACTAGACACTACAGAAAATGAAAATTAAAAAGCAGTTTGAAGTATGGGGAAAAATCTGGAAAATCCATAAATGACTAAATCTGAGAGCGATATGAGTAGGGGTTTACCCAGCCTAACTCCATAAGGAATATTCATGCCTTACTGCACTCTGATGTAAACAGGAAATCAGTGTAAATTTCTAGAGGGAGGAAGTGATGTGTACTTGTTTCTAGGAAAGTTGACAGGATGAGACAGCTCATTCTGGATGATCTGGAATTGAAGAAGACATTAAAAAGAAGAGAATTGTAGTGGTCAGGTAGAAAGGATGAAGACATGAATAAGAGTCTGCCACAAAATTGGTTGAGAATCTGATGCTTCATGGCGGTAAGTTTTCCAAGGCAACAATAAAACATATTTACACCTGGTGGATGAGAAGCAAAAGACACTAAACAACTTGTCCTTATATTTTAAAATTTACCATATTACTTAGCAGCATTTGGAGTTCCCTTCTTTGCTAAATTTTATCTAATTTCAGCAGAAGGATTTCTCATCTTTTTGAAAGCCTTACATTTACTCTTGCGGATGCCAAGACTAACACCAGTAAACACCTTCTCTTGGCAGCCACTACTCTTCAGTAGCTGAAATAGGAAAAACTCAAAGATCAATATTTTGAATTTGGCAATTCAATTTTAAAAAATAATAAACCAACTGGCTTTTTTGCCATATCTTGGTCAAAGTTCTGTTGTCAAAGACAATGATCATTACTCCGATCAACTTCTGATTAAGAGAGCTACCCTGAAATATTTGGGGTTGTCACCCTTTGGAATTTGTTTTCCAGTGCTAAAAATCACAACTTCATCGTATGTGAAAACACTATCTTAAAAGTTCATGAGGATATACTGTCAGCCTATGAATGCATCTGGAACACAGGGGAGGTTGATATACAAATGAAAATGTATTTGATGACCTCCTATTAGCAAGTAACTGTGTCATCATTGGTGATCTTCCAGAAAACACAATCCTAACCACTGTGGATGTAGAAGCTCTCTACACCAACATTCCACACAAAGATGGACTACAAGCCGTCAGGAACAGTATCCCCAATAATGTCACAGCAAACCTGGTGGCTGAACTTTGTCCTCACCCACAACTATTTCAGATTTGGGAACAATTTATACCTTCAAGTCAGCGGCACTGCTCTGGGTACCTGCATGGCCCCAGAGCATGCCAACATTTTTATGGCTGACTTAGAACAACACTTCCTCAGCTCTCGTCCCCTAGTGCCCCTACTCTACTTGCACTACATTGATTACATCTTCATCATCTGGACCCATGAGAAGGAGGCCCTTGAGGAATTCCACCAGGATTTCAACAATTTCCAGCCCACCATCAACCTCAGCCTTGACCAGTCCACACAAGAGATCCACTTCCTGGACACTACAGGGCAAATAAGCGATGGTCACATAAACACCATCCGACACTGGAAACCTACTAACTGCTATACTTACCTACATGCCTCCAGCTTTCATCCAGACCACATCGTATGATCCATTGTCTACAGCCAAGCTCTAAGATACAACTACATTTGCTCCAATCCCTCAGACAGAGACAAACACCTACAGGATCTCTATCAAGCGTTCTTAAAACTATAATACCCACCTGCTGAAGTGAAGAAACAGATTGACAGAGCCAGAAGGGTACCCGGAAGTCATCTACTACAGGACAGGCCCAACAGAGAAAGTAACAGAATGCCATTAGCTGTCACCTACAGTCCCCAACCAAAACCTCTCCAGCGCATCATCAAGGATCTACAATCTATCCTGAAGGACGATCCCTCACTCTCAGAGACCTTGGGAGACAGGCCAGTCCTTGCTTACAGACAGCCCCCCAACCTGAAGCAAATACTCACCAGCAACCACACACCACATAACAAAAACACTAACCCAGGAACCAATCCCTGCAACAAACCCCATTGCCAACTCTGTCCACATATCTATTCAAGGGACACCACAATAGGACCTAACCACATCAGCCACACCATCAGGAGCACGTTCACCTGCACATCTACCAATGTGCCAGCAATGCCCCTGTGCCATGTACATTGGCCAAACGGTCTCTACGCAAAAGAATAAATGGACACAAATGAGACATCAAGAATTGTAATGTTCAAAAACCGGTAGGAGAACACTTCAATCTCTCTGGACACGCAATAACAGACTTAAAAGTGGCAATTCTTCAACAAAAAAACTTCAAAAACAGACTCCAATGAGAAACTGCAGAGCTGGAGTTAATTTGCAAACTGGACACCATCAAATTTGGCCTGAATAAAGGCTGGGAGTGGATGGGTCACTACAAAAAGTAATTTTCCCACTGCTGATACTCACACCTTCTCGTCAACTTCTGGAAATGGGCCACCTTGATTGCATTGGCCTCGTTAGCACTACAAAAGTAATTTTACCTCCCTTGGTATTCACCCCTTCTTGTCAACTATTGAGAATAGGCCACTTCCACCTTAATTGAATTGGCTTGTTAGCACTGACCCCCCACTTGGTAAGGCAACTCCCATCTTTTCATGTGCTATCATATATGTTCTTCTTTCTGTATTTTTCACTCCATGCATCTGATGAAGTGGGTGTTAGCCCACAGAAGCTTATGCCCAAATAAATGTGTTAGGCTCTAAGGTGCCACAAGGATTCCTTGTTATTTTTGCTGATGTAGACTAACACAGCTATCACTCTGAAACCTCAAATCACAAACTCCACCAATAAATTCAATACAGCCAGCATACTCACTTCTGATTAAACCAGACTGTAATCGATTTGGGGCAGGGCTTTCTTTGCTTGTCACTGTGTGTTTGACAGTGCTTGGAACAATGGGGAAGATGTAGGCCTCCATGTGCTACTTCTCTGTACATGGTAATTATTAAGAAAAAGTGGAGGGCTGAAAGAAGCTGGGGTTCTGTAGGTCAGACTGGGCACACTGGCAGGATCATCTGCTCGCACTATACACCCTCCATCTCACCCTGATCCTTGCTCTGGACCTCACTGGGGCCGAAAAAGCGCTCATCACCTAACAGACCTGGGCCCTCGAAGAGTAGCCACTAGCTCCCATTGCCCTTCACAGGGAACCTGGGCAACAAGCCAGACCTTTGAAGTGGGCCAAAGCCACGGAAAGATTAAGGTAGGATCAGCTGCCAGGGGCGAGTCTGCGAGCGGCACCTGCTGGTACCCCATGGGCACCCCGAGCCCGGGAGAAGGATCAGGAGGGCCATGGGTGCAGGGGGACTGGCAGCCCCAGCGAAGCTCCCTGGACCAGACTGGGGGGGAGGGGATCCCTGTGGGGGGCGGGAAGGCCCCGTTCCGGGGGCTGAAGAGTCAGGAGCAAAACTCCCCTGGAGCCGGCCCGGCCCGCGCCCCCCAGTTACCTGTCTAGCAGCGGCCCCTGCAGGCACTTGACGGCCACCGGGACCCTCCAGTCGGCGTGTCGCGCTGAGGACACGGTGCCGTAGGCGCCCCGGCTGAGGAAGCGCAGGTCGGGCAGCTTGCTGGAGGGGATGGTGGGCAGCGCGCAGTTAATGCTGCTGGACAAGCCGCCGCTGCTCATGCTGGCGCTCTGGGAGGCCGCCCGAGGGACTCGCAGGAAGCCGGGTTCCGCGTTGGCTGGCTCCGGCCTCTCCCTGCCCCCACGCACCGGCGAAGGGCGGGGGGACGTGTCCAGAGCGCCCCCCGGCCGGCCTCGCCGCTCCCCCCCACCCCAGCCCCGCGTCACCTGCCTCGTCAGGGGGTCCCCCTAAAAACCCTGTCTAGGGACCGCCTCCCTGCAGCCGCCAGGACCTCCCCCCCCAGCTCCTTAACCCCCCCTCCAGCCACCGGGACCTCCCCCAGCCCCTTGAACCGCCCTTCCAGCCACGTGGACCTCCCCCCAGCCCCCCCTCCAGCCACGTGGACCCCCCACACCCCCCTAAGCCCCCCCTCCAACCGCCGGGATCTCCCCACAGCCCGCTAAACCCCCGTCCAGCGACAAAGCGCGGCTGCGGTTTCAGCTCCTTCCCGGCTCCGGGCTTAGCCGCCAGAGGCTAGGACTCGTCCCCCCGCTTCCCCGTCTCCGGGCGCTTGGTCTTGCAGCCAAAAGAGCCCCCCGGAAGCATCATCGCACGCGGCGGCGGACGGGCCTCCCGCCCCGCTCCGCTCCCCTCGGGGAGCCTCCTACCAGCCTGGGGTGAGGGAGGGGGGCAGGCGCGCACACCCGAGCCTCAAAGATCAAAAGTAAGGAGAGCCCAACTCCTGCCAAGAGCGCCGCGCCCAGCCTAGCCGCCTCCTCCAGGGAGCCGCACGCACAGGCAGCCTCCAATCTCAGCTGCTCCTGGCGGACGTGGAGGCGTCAGACCTCACCCACCTCTTCCGGGAAATCGCGGCTTGTAATCAGGAAAGTCCGAAGCAGAGCGGTGCGTGAAACCCCGGCGGGCTGGGGCTGGGAGCGGTGGCTTGCGGGAGGGGAGAAAGAGGGGAGCAGTGTCCGCAGAGTGTTCACTGGTGCTGTCTCTGCTTTCCCACGTCCTTTCTCGGAGTACAAGCGAGGTGAGCATTGCAGCTCGAGTGCGTCATGATAGTAGCAACACTTTGGTAACTGTCATAAGTCTCAGTGGCAAGGGTGTTACTGTCTTGTAACTAGTTTTGATCACGTGTAAATGCCAAGCAAGGGAGGAGTGCGCTGTTTGGAAGGAAACATTAAAATAAAGCTTTTAAAGACTTCGCATTTCTTTCTCTATAAACGCAGTTCATAATTTGCCGTTTTTCCTTGACAGATTTTTTTTTTTGTTACCCTTGTTGCCTTGCAAGTGGGCTTTAGAACATGAAAAATCGGGTAAGTGCTTACTTTCAAAGTGACTTTAGAGGTGATGCGTTTGGGAAGAGTCACTGAACCCAGGAACCAGGAGCGTGAACTCTTCCTTGTAACGTTCAGCTACTTTCTGCATGTTGAGCTGCTGCAAACATCAAGCTCACTAACCTTATTAGGGGCATGGCTACACTTGCAGGTGTAGAGTGCTTTGAGTTAAACCAGCCTTCATAGAGAGCAGTAGGGAAGGCGCTGCAGTCTGTCCATACTGCCAGCTGCAAGTTCACTGGCTTGGCCACATTAGCAGCTCTTGCAAGGGCTACAGAAAACAGTGCATTGTGGTAGCTATCCCTGCATGCAAGTGGCTGCAACCTGCTTTTCAAATGGGAGGTGGGGATGGGGTGGAGTGTGACAGGGAGTGTGTTGTGTGTATGTGGGGGGAGAGAGAGTGGGTTTTGGGGGGGCTGAGAGCATGTCAGCATGCTATCTTGTAAGTTCAGACAGCAGCAGACTCCCTCTCCCCCCCCTCTCTCACACACATAGCATTCCACACTAATGGTTGCTTTGTCTCAGAGCAGATAAGCATGCCAGCTGTCAGAAATGGAGGTTTCAAAGGGCATATCTGCATTCTTACAGCGATTCCAAAACCATGACAAGAGTGGCCACTTGATTTAAGGGGATTATGGGACGTTTCCAGAGGCTGATCAGAGTGCAGTAATGCAACACCCCGTTCACACTGACGCCTGGGTGTTTCAGCCAAGGCGCACGAAGCGTTAATCTTCTCACCGAGGTGGAGTACCAGGAGCGCTCTAGCCACGGAGTCAGAGTGCTCATGTGTCTTGCCAGTGTGGATGGGTAGTGAGCTAGAGCGCCCGGGACTGCTGTAATGCACTTTAACTTGCAAGTGTAGCCAAGCCCTAAGTAACATGTGCTGAGTTTCCTAATACTAAAAGTTCTTCCCTTTGCCCCCTTCAGTTGCGCAGGTATGGTAATGGGTGTGGTATAAGAACATCAACAGAATAGAATCTTCATTTCTACTATGTAAATAGTGAGAAATGAATTCAGTAATTGAAAGCTGTGGGTTGTTGGCTTTTTCTGAATCTCACTTCCACTTATATTTTTCTCTCTGACATAAAGTACCAGGGTAGATAGACCAGATTAAAATGATATTTGCCAATATGGCATCTCTTGTATTATTTAGATTTTTGTTTCTTAGGGATTTTTCTCTGTACTGCTATTTTAAAAGTAGCAATTAGTTAACTCCCAGTGGCCCCAACTCTGCAAAAATTTATTTACCTGATTCTCTTTATACAGATGCTTAACTTGACTCCTGTGTACATCATTGTAGGATCAGGACCAGTATTTGCATATTTACCAGATATAGTTCTTCTATTGTGATGAAGAAGTTTAAAGTTTAAAATATAATTTTTCAAACAAAATTGACAGACACTCAGTTAAGTCATGATCATAGGCCTATCTGTCACATGTTGAAACTGAAGGCTATATGCAACACCATCTGGAGAATATGGCACTAGCCTACTATTTACTTCATTTCTCCTGTTGTGGTTTTATTTCCATTAAAGGACCATTATATTTCAATTTCATTTTAAAAAGATCCTTACATAGTGTTGCCAGGTATCCAGTTTTTACCAGAACACCCAGTCAAAAAGGGACCCTGGAGGCTCCAGTCAGCAGCGCTGACCGGGCCGTTAAAAGTCCAGTTGGCAGCGCAGTGGGGCTGGCAGGCTCCCTGACTGGCTCTGCACAGCTCCCAGGAAGTGGCTGGCATGTCTGTCTGGGTCCTAGGCAGAGCCAGGGGCTGTGTGTGCTGCCCCCACCCTGAATGCCAGCTGGGAACCACGGCCAATGGTAGCTACGGGGATGGTGCCTGTGGGTGGGGGCAGCATGCGGAGACCCCTGGCTGCCTCTCTGCCTAGGAGCTGGAGGGACATTTCGCCACTTCCTGGGAGCCGTCTGAGGTCAGTGCTCCCTGGAGCCTGCACCCCGAACCCCTTTCTGTGCCCCAACCCCCTGTCCCAGCTTGGCACCCCTTCTGCACCTAAACTCCAGGAGCCTGCACCCCCAACCCCCTTCCTCAGCCTGGAGCCCCCTCCTGCACCCCAAGTCCCTCATTCTTGGCCCCACCCAGCACCGACACCCGCAGACAGAGGTCTCACCCTCGCAACCTCCTGCCCCAGCCTGCAGTGCCCTCCCACACTCTGAACCCTTCAGCCCCTCTTGCACCCCAAACCCTTCATCCCTGGCCCCAACTCAGAGCTCTCACTCCATCACATGCCTGAACCCCGTGACCCAGCCCAGTGAAAGTGAGTGAAGGTGGGGGAGAGCAAGCGATGGGACGGGGGGCGGGGGTATGGAGTGAGCAAGGGCAGGGCCTTGGAGAATAGACAGGGCCTCGGGGAAGGGGTGGGGTAGAGGGAGGGGCAAGGGTGTTTGGTTTTCTGCAGTTAGAAAGTTGGCAACCCTATCCCTAAAACTTCAAGAAGCTGGGAAGTTGAGGTAAAGGAAGAGGAGAGAGATTCTAAGTGTCCTCCTATGAAAAGTGGTTTCGAATAAATAGATGACAAAAAGTGCTGTTTTTAATATCTGCTCAATATTTTTCAACTCCCCCCACCGCCCTGGTCCTCTGTTGATCTATTGGATTATTTGTATCTCCTTGTTGTGTTTCTGTGCCCCAAGAAGCTTGGCTGCCCTTTCAGCTACAGTTTGTAATAAACGCTTTCATTTTCTATTAAAGGAAGTAAATTTGGAATATTTAATAATCCCTACTATAGTCTTTAAAACAGAAAGTGAGCTAAAAGGGGCTGTAGAGCTACAAACTGCTACTGAAAAGGCAGTGTGTCACTTTGGAGGAAGAGAATCAGTTTAAAAACTATTGCTTTCTTTTCTAGTCCGACAGCCTCAGCTACCTCTCTTCCCTCCCTCCTTCCGGTCTTGTCTATACTACAGAGTTTTGTTGACTAATGTTATGTCAACACTCAAGAAGTGCTGTAATAAAAATCGGTATTTCATGTTCACACTATGCTTCCTCTGTTGGCAGAGCCCATTCACATTTGGAGCACTAACATTGACAGTGTGAGCAGTGTACTGTGGGTACCTATCCCACAGTCCAGCTCAACACCTACTGCCGCTAGATCTTGTAGGAAGGCGGAGCAGATTGCGACACATCTTGGGACTGGGTTCAAAGTCCCATGAGGCATTATTTTCTATCCCAGGATTCCACGGGCTTCCGGCTTTCTTTTGTGGCATTTTTCAATTGCCCTTGTTTGCTGGGCACCCTGGCATCTCTGTGTGAAGGGATGGATCCCTCACTGCTCTCCCATGCTCTGATTATTGTCATTAACACATCATGGATGGCAGTTCAGTTAATTATAAAGTTTCTAACTGAACAGGACTCCCAGTTGCCTGACCTCCTATGATATGGATAGAAGGAACTTTAGATTTCCTTTGATATTCAAGGAACAGCTGCATAAGGTGGACCATCACTTTTGGACTCAGGAAACAAGCACTGAGTGGTGGGATTGTATTGTCATGCAGGTCTGGGATGAAGAGTAGTGGCTACAGAACTTCCGGATGTGGAAAGCCACCTTTCAGGAACTGTGTGCAGAGCTCACCCCAGCAGTGCAGTGCAAGGACACCAAAATGAGAACTGCCCTATCAGTAGAGAAGCGCATGGTGATCACAGTGTGGAAGTTGGCAACTCCAGACTACTACCAGTCGGTTGTGAATCACTTTGGAGTTGGGAAGTCAACTGTTGGGTCTGCGTTAATGCAAGTGTGCAGGGCCATTAATCACATCCTGCTATGAAAGACCATGACTCTGGGAAATGTGCGTGAAATAGTGGACAGCTTTGCAGAAATGGGTTTCCATAACTGCAGCAGGGTGATA